CCTTTGGAGAGTTGTTACTTCTAATATATAGTATGGTGAAAACTTTTCATTCGATATGATCAATACTAGAATATGAAAATAATGTCACACTTGGCAAAAAAACCCTGACTGGTAAACAGCATAAAGTGTACAAGAGTCTAACGATTATCACAAAATATAAATACGCTTACAATATTGACGACGACAACAACAATCAACAGTAATTAGGAATATACAAAGATGAAAAAGTCAGGGGGAGGAGTGTGAAAATACTGAACATTAAGACGTCAATTCTATATGATGAAATGATGAATAGATATAATAAAAGATATCTTCAAGTGTTCTTTACAATCCCAAGAGGTTGAAAAGCTCTCACTAATTTTATTCAATCAACCGGTGAACTAATTGAGTAACAGAGTAACCAAATTATCTCAAATATCAGTATTTTTCCCAGAAGTTTCGGCGAGACTATAATTTATGGATGAACTAATCAGATTTAAGAAAGTGAGTCCTATATTTTGGCGCAAAATTCATTCATCCAAATGGCTAAATAGAATTTTGGCACCATAGCTGACGTTAGTTCGTGACGAAAACCTTACCTCTAAGTCCCGCTTCTGATTTCTCACACTAATTTATAATCTTTTTTGGACTCCAGTAGGTGAATTTTCACAAGGTCACTTTGGCATCGCTGATTAGTCGTCCATAAATTTTAGTCACGCGGGAGTGTGCCAAGGTTACCGAGAATGTTACGATTTTTTTCATTTCCCCAAAATATGGTTACCTTGAAAAGGAAAGTTCTATTGTATTTTTCCCCTTTATCTTATTCGACGTTTAAGTGACGACAATTGCAAGAATCTAAAAATCTGTTATAAATTTACTGTTGCTAGCATTCAGTGTATCGTACAGAGTAGAACGTATCATCAAATAAAGACTTCTGTGTAGTTGACTTCAATCAGAATATTTATAATTGCTCAGAATAACAATCAAAGACTTTACGAATAGTCATTTTATCTGATCTCTTTGGAACTTCATTTATGCCCCTTTCTACACCAGCTAGTTACGTAACAATCTGGTTTGTATTGCATGCATTAAACACCTAATTCGACAGGTTTAATACAAAACGTGGTAAATGAACTTAGTAGATGAAAACGAGTATGTGTACATTCTCAGCCAAACTTATGAGGAAGTTACAAAAACTACTGGACTATCTAGAGTAACACTTAGTGGTTACTTAAACTTGCAATACTAAGTTTTATAATAGAGTGTTTGAAACTCCTTTAAACATCAAACTTTGAAATATCCTAATACATATGATCATAGTTTTCAGGACTATAATGACAAAAAACTGTAACCTTATGTTGCTTGTTTCAAACAATCATGACTATTAATTAAAAAAGAGCTTGGATTAGTCTTTGCTACCAGTTTTGCAAACAAATGAAACGATCAGTACTTCAGATAATTTCATTATACATCAAACGAAGTGTAGACATGCGGATATGGGAGTTAACTGTAGACATTATGAAAAGATTCGGTATAAAGAATTAATTTTACTTAGAAAAAGCTTGAAAACTTTCATGGATTATGTGGATTAGTGAACTGCACAGTCAAGGTGGATACAAAATAAAACAGACGAACTTTTATCAGATTATTAGATAACACATTCAATAAGTTTATGTTTTTGGGAGTAGAAAGGTTAGAAAGGTTACCACTGAATATAAACACTTGAAAGTTATACTTTTATATTACAATAAAACTGTTTAGTCCTTGGTAATTTCATAAAGTATTTTGATTCGTTATCTGAAAGTGTCTTCTTAAACAAGGTTTCATAAAATAATTTACTTTATGGCATATGGTGAAATAGACAATTTGTTTCCTAAAAAATACTGATCAAATTGATCAGACAAAAAAAGAAACTATTATCATTGATCAAACGTCCATTGTCTGGAATGAAATAATAGGGAAATTTAATTAAATGATAGACAAACAGACTATTATTATTTGACTGGATAAATGTAAAAATAGTAAAACATTAGTCCGAGGGGTGTTGTTAAAAAAGCTTGATATTCGAAATTTTTTTTAACATTAACCGAATCCCTTACAAATTCTGTATCATAGCAGAGAAGAGGCAAATAAAGTGGTGATTTAGAATGCATACTTTTAGTGAATAAATTGTAATTCGACTTCTGCCTGTCACAAGTGGAGTGGATAAATTAGTAATGAACTTAGTAATAAACTTCGTAAATGAGAAAGTTTGATCAGTAAATATAGTATTTTATGATTATTAAAGATAGGCAAGTATACGGAAAAGATCATTTTTTGACATTGCTGTAACTGAGATATTGAATATAAAGAAATGCTTTAGTAAATATAATAGCACACCACCAAAAATTTATAAACGGGTTAATTCTAACTGCCTTGAGCTTAATCAGTATCTACAGTAACGTGTAACTAGGATATCAGATGAATACGCTAATTTTGACAGTCACATCAACTACAGTAATGATACCGTAAGAATTTTTAGTAACAATTTAAGCAAATTGAATATTTTGTTGGGTAATGTATAAAAATAAACAAACGGCCTTCATAATATTAAAGAAATTGTGTCTTCAAAGCATGATGAATAAAATCAGAGAATACTTGGTATGCATTTTGCAACTGTCTGTAATTGCAGTTAGGATAAGAGTAGTTGGTAGAACTTTTTAATGTATTGGTCAATTTGTTTATTTGAAAAGTCTTATCACGAATACGAAAGATTTGCATGGGGTTTGCTAATCTATACAACAAAAAGCACTATTAAAATAGACTATATTGCTGAGGTATCAGTCAGTCAGCTACTACGTAAGACCAGGCACATTTATGCATCGGTCCAAGTTGCCATACCTCGTTAGCACAAGATGAACACCGGATTCATAGTAGTTAATTTAGTGGTGGTAATATATAAAAGATAGGTTGTTTATAAGGATATAGTATAGGAAGGAAGAAAGTTATGAATCAATTTTAATCTCAATGTTTAAGGAAAGATAAAGAGTGTATACACCTACGCCATTGTGATCGATTCTGAGCCATGTCATCTAGAGTCTCCAACCATTGGTTACGATAGTCACGCGGACCCCAATCAAGTAGTCTGCATCTACCAACATGGCTCAAACTAGAAGTTAGTGACTTCATGCACTGATGCCATGTTTTGGTTTGGCGGCCCCTAATTTTCTTCTAACCATCCCCTACACTAGTCAGCATAGCGCGTCGTGTTTAGGCATACGTAACACGTGGCCCAACCATCTCAGTCGATGAAGAATCATGACCTCATCAACTGATTTACCATTATTACCTAATACTTTGTGTCTAACCTCAGTATTATTACCCGGTGATCCCAGCAGATGCTGAGGTATGGCGGATATGAGTAGATAGAAAGGTGTTCTATGACAAATATCTTTCCGGAATTAACCGTATCTAATGGACCACTAAATGGTCGGCTTTAAAATAAAGGAGCAAATACTTTGGACGAAAAGGTCAGTTACTCAATGAGGTTATAAATTCATAAAGACAGATTAAACCGTATATTACACGATTTAAGTCATTACCTACTTTTCTGGTTGTAAGATGAACGGAGCGGGTTGGGAGAGAGTGTGGATAAAGAAATTAGGAGATGGAGGTGCTCTATGAGGTTCATTCGTGTTAAATCAATTCATACAAAGAGGGTGGTAACTTCTTGAGAATGGTTCGAAAACGACGAAAATTGAGGGTTAGAGACCACGAAGGACGTGGCTCAAAATGGATCGAGATCATGAGTTCAATTACCTTTTTCTAGATGTTGAAAATCACTTTACGAACTGTTTGTTTTACTCATTTAAACTCATCTCAATGCTATTTTTATGTCTTTTCACTGCTAAGCAGTTATGAAGTATGATAGTTTGAAACAATTAAAGTGAAATTCTAAAATGTTGAATGTTCATAAAATTGAAATCCACTTAAATACTAATGCAAACCAGAGTTCATAAGGATTCCAAACGCATGTATTACGAAAAGAAATGTCCACCTACAATTGTAGGCAAGTAATAGAGTGAGCATATAAAGAACGGTTTCTAGATACACGAGACACTATGGAAATCCTTTATACAAGATAATTATTTGGTTTGTGAGAAAAAAAGTAGCAAATAAATAGAACAGAACTTTTTGAAAAATATTTCCGTTTTAACGATCGTACTGTTAAAAGTTTCTGAAGTGTGGTCACTTTAAATAGATTTTTTTTTAAAGAAAAACGGGTGAACAATGTGTTGGTAAGTAGAATGAACTACTGACAAGTCGGGTACACGAATATATGAACCTTATGTCAAGTCACTAGAGGAACTTACTTCTGTACATTTTGTAATTTCTTAATTTAAAACTTCATGAAAAACTAAAAATAGTACATATTTGTACTTATTTAATTATAAAAAAATGTTTACACTCATAACATATCAAAATTTCTCATAATCCTATGAAAAATTGTTAATAAAAATTTAGAAAACCAGAATAACACTCAACAACCTGTTGGATGTTGGCTAGCAATGGAATCCAGGACGCGCGTTTTGTTTTGTTTGGGACGAGTTCCAAATAGGACGAAATGTGCGTCTCGGACTCCGGTGCTAGCCACCATCCATCTTTGCTTACAATGTTTGTGACTTAAGGCAATTCACACAGGGTGCATATATACCAATAAGAGATTGATCAATTGCAGTCCTAAACATCAATGGGAAGATTTAAATAAACAATATAAAAATAATTTAAATAGCTTGTTGTTATTCATGTTGGGGAAAATCTTAGAGTGATATCAAGATAAAAATAACACTTCCTAAAAGTTCCAGTCAAAATATTAACTCAATCTTTGTATAAAAACAGCATTAATAATTTATTTGTATTATTTGTTTGAATGTTCTCATTGATGCTTAGCACTGCAATTGGTCAGTCTCTTTTGGTTTATGTGAAAGCAGTGCGAATCGGCTAGGATATTGCCAGTAAGTCATAATAATTTTTAAGAAGGGATAATAATAATAATAATAATAAATAAATAGATTAGTGAAATAGTTCCATATGTAATGTTAACTAAGATATTAACAATGTTATAAATATATTTATAGCTGATTCATTTAATTGTTAATATTTAGGCTAAGTAAATTTAATTGTTAGATATAGGAAGATAATAAAGTAAAAAGAAACAACATGGTTTATGAAGATTCAAATTGCAAATGATATTCATTATGATCTGATATTAGTTAAACTACTGAACTACAACAACGTATGAGGTTTTAAGTGTACGATAATGAGCAGTCTCAGACTAGAATGAAATATACAGTGCAATATTTCCCGATTTTAAATAATTGTTAGGTTGATAATTAATATTTTATGGAAACTATCTTTTAAAATAAAATACGAAAAATTATACAGATTAACAAACAATAACCTTCAAGATGTACGTCCTCTTATCCATAGGAAATCCATGAATTATAGGTTATCAAAAGATGCAGATTTATTAATTTTAACGTTAACATCATCCCACATTTATTTTAGGAGATGTGAGAATAAAACCTGAATGTTAAGTCAGGAGTTAATGGAGAGGGCAACTAACACAAGATCGAATTTTCATACACTGAATTCCTTTTATTATCTTGAGAGCAAGAGCGAAGAATTGAGCAGAATAATATGAATTCGTTCCATTTCGTAAAATTTTCATCAGCTACCAAAAACATCGTGAAGTAAAACGAATCCACATATATTATTTGTTCGTGCTCTCTTCAAGAGAACGAATAGTTGTAAATAAAATACTTGGTTAATGAATTAGCAGTTTTAACAAATGAGTGGACTATAGCTAAATGATGTTAACCGGTAATTTACAACAATTTCAAGATTATTTACTCTGATTTTTCAATGAGTGATGTTTCTGTCGACAGTATAGACGTTGAATAACAACGGAATAGTAATAGATCTTAAGAGAAGAACATAATAAGAAGCTAAGAGCTTAATTAAAGATGAGATCACATCTGTTAATTCCAGTATTTTGTAGTTAATAGCATACGTTTCTTTAGAAAATAATCCTTTTGATATACCATGGAAAAAATAAGTATCTAATCTTGGTAATTTATAGTGAAACGTATTTTATTCAAATTTATGGATCATGCAAATGGAAAACAATCAATTTTACAGTAATACATGAAAAATTTCGATCTATTTCAAAAAATAATTCATAATTAAACAGAGCAGCTGAAAGTTGACAAGGAATAAAAATAATATTTACAAATGATTCAACCTTTTTAGACAAATATCAAAAGGGGAATTATAGAGAAAGTAAATGTTAAAGTAACTGATTATCAGTAAACTGGGGAAATGGACATAGATATTCGAGTGGACTGACTTTAACTACTTACGAGTAGTAAAAAAACAATAGAATTCATTAACAACTTTTATTTATTTATAATGACGGTTTGAAGGGTAATTACACTTGTTTATTTCAAATAGGAAACTCCAAATATTTGAGCAGAGACCACCTACTATATAAAACATCAGTTTGTCATCGATAGATGTTCACTGTGATATATATTTAATTAGATGTATAAAACTGTGACTTTGTATGTTGATTTACCTAAAATATTATTATTCAACTAATTACATACTGTCTAAACATCTAAGGTTTATCAACAAAAAAATAAATTCACTTTTATTAACTTAAGACAAGGAAACTTAATGTATAGAAACTGATTATACGACTTGGATTTAAATTTATTTTTCAATATTTTGAAACAACAAAGTAACAGTTACCTTGTGGTGTTGGTTGCTATGTTAAGCCCACATAGCTTATTCTAGATTCCTTCTTAAGTCACGTTTTGATCTTGTTAATTATTCGCTTATTAACCCTGGCTGTTTTTATGTAAGCGTATGTGTGTTCATTTCCTATCCTATCAACCACATGTCTGTAGCTTATTTTTGTCTGACTATAAATATCGATTAACGCTTGGTTAAATCAAGTTGGCTGACACGCCTTTTTGACCGCGCATCATTTTTCTTCGATTGTTTGTCTGGATCAACGATTGTATGAAATACACTTATTCGAAATTTATTCTCGTATTGGACTTATTTAACTACATTATCCACTAACGCGATTTAGGTCGATGATTATATACGAGGATTGGTGACATGTATATTTCAATAATGATCATAATACGATCTACCTGAAGTCAGATTTAGGGTTACTAAAACTTGTAGTTGTCAAAGTATTGAAAAATTACAAAATCAAGCTGACGAAAAGTCGAACCAATGAATTTCCGTGGAAGTTAGGGCTGATTAGAATGAAGCAGGGATGGTTTGCCTTATGACCTACCCTTTATAGCTACTTATAAATAAATATTCAGTGTTGTGGATAAATAATACAATTATTGTATGATTAAATGTTACAGTAATATAACATAATACCATTCTGTCTACTTTGAATTCGATCTCTTGATTGCATTTTATTGAAGTCTCAGATCAATCGATATTAGTAGTAACACAGAGAACACCAATCTAATCATACTTGGTGGTGAATCTCTGGAACAGGTGGAAACTTTCACGTACCTGGACTGCATCACCAGCGAACAGGGAAGATCTGATGCAGATGTAAAGACAAGGATTGGCAAAACAAGGGCAACATTCCTACAGTTAAAGAACACATGGAACTTAAAACAACTGTCAATCAATATCAAAGTAAGAATCTTAAATGCGAATCTAAGACAGTTTTACTGTAAGGAGTTGAAACTTGGAGAACTACTACAACCATCATCAAAAAGGTACAAGTGTTTATAAACAATTGTCTACATAAGATACTGAATGTTCATTGACCAGAAACCACCAGCAACAGCCTGCTATGAGAGAGAAAAAACCAGCTTTCAACCAAAAAGGAAATTAGGAAAAGACGTTGGAGGTGGATAGGACATACATTCAAAAAGTCATCAAACTGCATCACGAGACAAGCGCTAACTTAGAATCTTGAAGGGAAAAGGAAAAGAAGAAAACCAAGGTACATATTACACATGGAATTGGAAGCAGACATCAAAAGGATGAATAACAACTGGGAAGGATTGCTCAGGACAGAGTTCGATGGAGAACGCTGGAGGGCGGCCTATGCTCCTCCACGAGGGGTAACAGGCGTAAAAAATTCTTAGTGATATTCCGAAACTTCAATTAGTAAGTGATTAGGCATAATGAATACAAGATAAACAACATGTGAATAATCATGTGAAAGACTAGATTAATAACACTCACTTGGAGATCTTTTTTAGATTACGATAAGTAATTTTTCCAGAATCATCTTCATCGAACAGCTTGAAGGCTCGTACCATCTCTGTGACAGGATCTCTGTCTAAAATCATATCTGTCACTAAAAAAAATTATATATATATATATATATATATATATATATATATATATATATATAAACTGTGTGAAAGGAAAAAGATAAATAGGATGGGGCATAGACAGAAATGATAAAATAATAACTTCTACTTCTCAGACTGATAAGTAGCGAAACTTAATCACAATGTAAAACCACTAGAATTCCGAGAGTTGAAGTTATAGGAATGAATGGAATCCTCCTAACTAAACAGTAATAGACGTAGCGACGAAAGTGTTTGGAATTTAAAATGGTAATGTAGCTTAGATTAAAGAGTCTTGATGGAGGGCTTACAGGTGGTCGGATTTTTCTTCAGACGCATAATTTATTCCTTGATTTCCAAGTGCATTATTATGATGCAGTTTGATGACTTCTTGAATGTATGTCCTATCCACCTCCATTATCATTATTATTATAAATGATGATGATTAAGGATTTGAGCATATGATTTTACTATCTTTAGTGAAGTGTAAAATAAATCAACATAACTCAGCAAATATTATACTTACCTATTTCATTAAAATCTTCAAACCGTAGTTTTCCAGAATCTTCTTTGATGTTGTAGTCCTCCAAAGTTTTTAGTACCTCTTGTTTTTTTAACTCAAATCCAAGCGCTCGAAGAGCAACCTTTAGGGAAAATCATGATACATATCACGATACCTTAAATTCATAATAACTGATTTGTTGATCTTTATCTGTATCGAAAAGATCAAATGCCTCGACAATCTCTTGTTTTTGTCCTGCTGTAAGTTCTCTCCGTTTCCGACGTCGAATATTATCTGTAATTCCTGTAAATGAAATAATAGATGCAAATCTCGCAGATAAAACAAAGAAACTGTCTCAAATCAAATGTAAATTTTAGTGTATTGAAACATTGATGAGAGTCTAAAAAATGTATGAAAGCTATGTATAAACCGGTAGCTGGACGGCCTGTGTTGATGAACCAAAAGGACTACGAGTTGGCTCGACGTTTGAATACAAAAAGTCTGAGAAACCGAAATGGACCATTTTTATTTCAACAGAGTACTCCAATTTGCATTTATGGTAAATATGGACTTCTTCAAAATAGTCATAAAAACCCCTTAAAAAGGACCTAAATCATATTAAACATTGTTTATTACTAGCACATTTTATACCAATACTTTAAAACCAGTACAATATGAGGCTTATTTTCTGGACATATTATTGGTACAATGGTATTGCATATTCGACAAAATGTTCTGCCAGATGGATGGATTAAACCCAAAATGAACGATCCGATAATACTTAAAGAGGAGTATATGAAATTAATAACTAAGGTGTTTGTTGGTAATTTGCCATGATTCTTACATAGCTTTCTGATTTTTCAAGTCTTTTTGATGTCTTCAATGCCTCTTTATCTTCTTTGTATTCTTCAAATGAATGGTTGTCTTTTGTCACCCTTCTACATACTACTTTTATTTTTATCGTCCTCCAAATATTACGCAACTTTAAAATACTTTCGACTAATCTCAGGTGCTTTTGCAAATAACGCGACGATTTGCTATTCTATTATAGACCACCAGGCGTGAAATAACTATAAATACTATTGTTTAGCTCTAGTAAATGACATTGGGAAGAAAATTTTCCTCCCTGAACTTTATTTATTTATTTTCACTTAGAAATGTTTATTTACGAAGCTTCTTGGGTCCAGACAGCATATCAATTGAAATCTTGTCCTTTGGTTATAACTGGAAATATAAAAATCAAACAAATAAATAGGTGAAAGTGCAGTCCAACATAATCAACAACGAACCCAGCACCAAATATACTTCGTGTCATTGGTAATGTTACAGGTTTAGCCTCGATCTAGAAAGTACCAATTGTGATTTTGACTGATGATATGTTCGAATAAGAAGCATTTATCCAGACTAACGCTATACATAAACAAAAATATCCTGTTTTTTATGAAGAAATGACAATCCATGGAGGTGTCAAGTCTATAAGTTACTGACAATCAATACGAAAAAGCAGGATGTGAAGAAATTATAACTCCTACTTACGGAAAGCGGGGCCCTGTAGTAGAATGAAGTCTCAAGGAGTAAAAACATACACGTAAAGGATTTTCTCCTGTAACCAAGTATCAGGATTAACAATAATGTAACTTGTTCAAGAATGATAGACTCATAAGCTCTATTCTGACCTACATTATGACATTGGTAATATTGAGAGGATCTTCAAACGTAAGTAGATGGTGGAGGTTTTGAACTCGATACCTATTAATTCAAAGTCAGGAGTCAAAAACAATAACTTTAATATTTGCAAATGAAACAAGCTTGTTTTGGCTCGAATTTGATTAGTTGGTATTTGGAGGTGTCAGGGGCCTCAGACAAAGCCAAAACCAATGATCAAGGTTTGCAGCTGGTTGAGCATACCACGAAACATCTTACCAGGAACTACCCTGAGTGCATATCACCAAGGTTCAAAAGAAGAAACCTTTGAGATTTTCTCTACCATTCATATAGAAAAACATCTACAGCATTACATCACAGCAACCAATTGACGTTTGAACTACTTGGTAAAACGCTATCAGTTGCGTATCTAACGCTATCCCTGGTTAGAAAACTTGGCAATAGAAATCTCACACAAAACGAAATAGGTGGCACTATTTTATACGAATCCTGCCATATCAAATAATCTTTGGACGAACCTGAGTCCATCACTAAGATAATCTATGACTTCGAAACTACCCCAACTCTTTTCAATCTCCAATTTCAAGGTTGCAGTCAAATAGTGCAAATGTTTCAAATGGTTGTGGACGGAATAGAAAAAGCTATCGCTTAACGGACTTCCGTGTCTAGTAGCAGTGGATCACCAATACCTTCAGGAAGGAACCTAGGTATATTAACGATAATGGGGTGAAAAAGAGATTGACAAATCATGATAAGATATTATCGCTAATCCTTAAGAATAGTTCAAGTTTCCTCCTAAAGGACTCTCGGGAAGTCGCTTGGACTAGCTCAGTCGGCATCGAATTCCAACATTTGGCAACTCTTAAGGAGTAGAAGTTGTGTCTACAGTCCGTTATGCTATGTCGGGTCTCCAGTTTCTGGATGTTACCCCTTAGGTGAGTATTGTGACTAAGCTTAAGTAGATGTTTAAGGGGGTGACCAGAAGTGTTTAGGATACTGTACGCCATAAAGTCACCTATAAGACTCCTCTATTCTAACGGATTAGGGTTAATTGGTTGGAGGCGCTATTCATAAGGCTTCAATTTGAGTCTTCGAATTATTTCGTGTATCGCCGTTGGATACAGTTAGCGGAAGACTTCAAGTCGCAGGATATCACTTACTTACTTACTTGCGCCTGTTACCCCTCGTCGAGGAGCATAGGCCGCTCACCAGCATTCTCCATCGAACTCTGTCCTGAGCCTTCCTTTCCAGTTCTTTCCAGTTGCTATTCATCCTTTTCATATCGGCGACTATTTACCGGCGTAGTATGTTCTTTGGCCTTCCTCTTTTCCACTTCCCTTCAGGATTCCAAGTTAAGAATCGCCTTATAATGCACATTGGTGATTTCCTTAATGTATGTCCGATCCACTTCCAACGTCTTTTCCTAATTTCCTCTTCAGCTGGAAGCTGGTTTGTCCTCTACCATAAAACGCTGTTGTTGATAGTATCCGGCCAATGAATGTTGAGTATTTTGCGTAGACAACTGTTTATAAATACTTGTACCTTCCTGATTATGGCCGTAGTAGTTCTCCACGTTTCAGCTCCATACAGTAGGACTGTCTTGACGTTCGTATTAAAGATTCTGACCTTGAAATTAGTTGAGAGTTGTTTTGAGTTCCATATGTTCTTCAATTGTAAAAATGCTGCCCTTGCTTTGCCAATCCTCACCTTTACATCTGCATCCGATCCTCCTTGTTTATCAACGATGCTCCCCAGGTACTTGAATGTTTCCACCTCTTCCAGAGTGTGATTGGGTTGGTGTTCTCCGTGTTGCATTTGAGAATCTTGCTTTTTCCTTTGTGAATGTGGAGGCCTATCCATAATGTTCTCCTGTCCACACTGTCAAACGTCTTCTCATAATCAATGAAGTTGACGTAAAGTGATGAGTTCCACTCAACTGATTGTTCAACGATGATCCGTAGTGTCGCAATCTGATCTGTGCACGACCTATCCTTAAGGAATGCAGCCTGATGATCCCTATGTTCGGCGTCTACTGCGTCTTTCATCAGCAGCACTCTGTTGAAGACTTTTCCTGATACTGATAACAAACTGATGCCTCTGTATTTCTCACATTTGCTCAGATCTCCTTTCTTTGGTATCGTGATGAGATATCCTTCTTTCCAGTCCATTGGCACTTGTTCTTCCTCCCAAATCTTCTTGAAGAGTAGGTGAAGCATGTTTGCAGTTATTTCAATGTCTAACTTCAGTGGTTCTGCTGGTATATTGTCAGGTCCTGCCACCTTCCCACTTTTGATTTGTCTGATGGCCATCTTGACTTCTTCGATCGTTGGTGGAGTGACATCTATTGGAAGGTCAGTGTGGGCTGCTTCGACGTTCGGTGGATTCAATGGGGCTGGTCTATTCAGCAGTTCCTCAAAGTATTCTGCCCATCTTTTCCTCTGTTCTTGAATCTCAGTGATTGTCTTTCCTTCTTTGTCCTTGACTGGTCTCTCTGGTTTGCTATATCTCCCTGATAGTTTCTTCGTTGCATCATACAGTTGTTTCATATTCCCTTCTCTTGCAGCTTTTTCCGCCGTCATTGCTAGTTCTCCCATGTATTTCTGCTTGTCGGCTTTAATGCTTTTCTTCACTTCTCTGTTTGCTTCTGCGTAGTCTGCTTGTGCTTTGACTTTCTCTGCTCGTGTTTGGCTGTTGTTAATTGCTAGTTTCTTGTTCTTCCTTTCTTGAATTTTGTCCAGGGTTCCGATAGAGATCCATTCCTTGTGATAATGCTTCTTAGGACCAAGAACCTCCTGACATGTTGAAGTTAATGTTTCTTTTATCCCTTTCCAGTTGTCTTCCAAAGTAGTTTCTTGTTCATTCAGTAGATGTGGTAGAGCCTGAAACCTGTTGTTGAGAGTTATCTTGAAATCGTGGAGCTTGTCAATATCTCGAAGGAAGGCTGTATTGAACCTTTGTAGTTCTGTTTGTCCAGTTGTCCAGTGTTTCTTTAGCTTCAGTCTCATCTTGGCCATAACCAGGTGGTGATCTGAAGCTATGTCAACTCCTCTCCTGGTTCTCACATCTTCCATTGCCCAAATTGTAACTGTAGTCTGCAACATGTCACAGATGAACTAATTTACACTTTTAAGTGTTGATTGTAAGTCTGTTATCGTCTGCCCAACTTTAAGTTGAGTTAGATCCTACTGAAGTGTCAGTATGTCCTCTTGGTTGCGTATCTCTTTTTCAAGTTCCACATCATCAGCGAAAATTAACAAGTCTGACGGCACCTGTTGTCGAAGATAGTTTATACAAAGCAAGAAAAGGAGCTTTAGAACTGAACCATGGATGACCCCACTAGGACATTCCATGGCCTGTAAGAAAATGAAGTTATCCGTGACCTTAAAGTGTCTATTTTGTAGATATGAAGTCAGCCAGTCAATCAGAAATATTTTGGTACCCAATCTTCCAAGCTTATGGATAAGACATATTTGGTTGACCCTATTAAAAGAAGAAATTTAAGTATAAGAAGTAGTCATGTATGCCATCGCATTTCAGGGGCTCCATAGTTTTTGAGGGTATAGAGAGAAGGGCCACTGGTCGTTAGCTTGGAGGTTCGCTGCGTCAACCTACTTTGAAATTTGGTGTGATGTGAGCCAGTTTCTAAGTTTCCGGTAGTTCACCTTGACTTAGCGAGTGTGAGAACATCACGCTAAGCGGTGTTGCAAGGATTGAAGCTGCTTCCCTCAGTATAGTAGACTGAACCATATCCGGACCCGGAAAATTGTCTCTCCTTAGGTGCTGCAGTTTTTGGAGCACTAGGTCAGCGCCCAGGTTCACTTCCGAGAGTCCTGAGAAATTGCAAACGAAGCTTTGATCAGTGTGTAGTGACCCACTTTTCATGACGAGAGCGCGATCGGTATTATGGAATGAGTTATTATTATAACCAATTTTACCGGTAGTTGTACTGTACTTGTTTGTTTAACTGTACCAAAAGCACTTTTCTCTCCGTTGTCAATTCTGCTTGTGCAGACGCCTTTACGCTCTGCTATTTTGTCTATAATGTTCTGAACGTCTCGGTATTTTTTTGATAACATGAGATCGCCAACAAATATATCTTATATGGACCACTAACAGACTTCTGGTTCTTGGCCTACCGAGGGATCCAAGTCGATATCTAGCACATAATCTTATTGAAGAAATATGCCTAACGTTTACGATCGTCTCAAGGAGGTGATCCTCAGACATTTCCTCCCTTGGAGGATCTTATTAGCACATCACCCATAGGTGGTGTTAAACCGAGCCACCACATCACGCGCCCGCAATCTCTTGTAGGAACTACGACAGCCGATTCCGAGATTGTTAAGGAACTATGGCTCGAATCATTGACAGCACATATGCAACCAACGATTACGGCCCTGCTCGAGTACCCCCAACTCAACCAGGTGGCAGATAAGATACTGGCAAGGACTAGCACCCGAGACAACTACATAGTCGCCTCGACATCACGTTCAAACATTGATCTCGATGTTAGTCGACCTATAGTTCACGGGGATGAAGATCACTGCATTCACACCCGTCTCACTTTTTGAGACTGATCAAAAATACCAGGACACTACGTCCCCCGAACCAGGTAACGCTCTAGTAAAGCCGTAACAACTCGCCCTAAACGGGCATTTTTCAAGCCATGCCAAAGGGCGGTTTCGGAAGTGAGTTCTGGTTGGTGCTCGCTCCACCGTCCCTTCAGGGCCGCTGCCCGTCATTGTCGAGCTCCCTGCTCATACAAGGTGGGAAACTCCCGAGCTGGAGAGTAAATGACACCCTACTCGCCGGCCCTTCACCTCAGGTTGGCAGTTTATTTTGCGTGCACGATGATCACACAAACGCTAGGTTCCTAGTAGATACATGTGCACAAGTTTCTGTCGTACCTGTTGGTAACAGTAAGTCTCAAAGTACTATGCTTCGACTACGAATGACTCAGTGATTCCTACCTATGGAACACGACAACCTACGGCCAGCCTAAGCTACTGACGGCAGTATCTATGAGCGATCATCACTGCCGATGTTTCCACAGCCATACACACTATCGATTTCCTACATCACTATGCACTGCTAGTCGACTCACGTAGGCTGCAGCTAATCAATACCTCGTCGGACAGCAAGTTCACGGGCTTTAAGGCTCACACAAACGCGTACCGAATCATGGGTGTACTTCATTCGCGTGACGATTTATTCATCGCTTTATTTCAGAAATTCCACAAATTAATAAAACCTTTCAAGGAGATTTCATCGGTCACCCCTCGTGTGGTACACCACATAGTCACCCGCGGACCACCAATCACGGCAAAACCTTGCTGACTGGCACCGGACAAATTAGCTTTCGCTAAACGTGAGTTTGACAATTTACTAGCTACTGATATTATTCGTCCTTCTCACAGTCCTTGGGCATCAACTCTCCACATGTTATGCAAAAAGGATGGTATTAGTTGGAGACCATGTGGAAACTACCGAGCATTAAACGCAGTTGCGCGTTTCGATAGCTACTCCATCCCCAAATACATGACATCACAGCATCACTCAAGGGCATGACTATCTTTTACTAAGATCGACCTGGTACGATCATACCATCAGATCCCAGTCGCTATTGAAGATATCGAGAAAACCGCTATCACGACTCTCTTCGATCTGTTTGAGTTCCTACGAATGCCATTCGGTTTACGGAATACTGCTCAAACTTTCCAAAAGTTTATCAATACCGTAGTACGAGACCTAGATTTTGTTCAGGTCTACATCGGAATCAACAACCCGCTGTATTTATGGTTGGCTTCACTCTTAAAGAGACGTAAACAAATGGTAAAGTACAACGAATTTCTCATTATTTAGACCAATAACTAATGGCATCATCCATGGAAGTGTATTAGGATCACTTTTGTTCCTCATGTATATAAACGATATATGTAACATCATAAAATCTGGGAAACCATACTTATATGCTGATAATCTCAAAATAGTATACAGCTATAAGCCTGAGGCTCTAAGTGAAAGAGTACCCCTGATTCAAGATGATCTCAATAACCTTACTATCTGGAGCGAAAAGTGGCAATTACCATTTAACCTCCACAAATGTGGGATCATGCACTTTGGAAAGCACGCATATGAACTACAACTGTACTTAAATAAAAGTAAAGTCCAGACATTTAAATCAGTACACAATCTAGGAATTAATTACACAGGAAGACTACACTTTGAAGCACACACCTCCTCTATTATTTCTAAAGCTAGACTTATAATTGGCTTCATAACGGAAAATTTCTGCACGACAGAGGCTAAGCTTACCCTTCACAAAATATGTGTACGACCTTCACTAGAATACGGCTCTTTTATATTCTCTAATATGAATACCACTGACAAAATAAGGGTAGACGTTCAAAGACGCTTTACACGCCAACTGCTAAGAAGTGACTCCACTCTCAATTACACAATTAGATATAAGCACCTCCCTTTAGAACCTTTATGGCACCGTATGTTAAGGAACAATCTGATATTCTCTACAAAGCAATAAATGGACTTTCATTCCTAACCTCCTACCCAACTATGATCAATAACCCAGCCTATAGACTAAGAAACAATGCATATGCACTATTTACCGTAAATCCCCAAAAACAAATGCTCTGTAAGTTTTTTACAGTACGGTATAGTTTATTGTGGAACAGGTTGTCAATACCTATCCGTAACCGTGACACCCTTACCAAATATAAAAGGCTAATAACTCTTACTAGACTTTAAAGAGCTTCACCAACTATTCCTTGAACTCCCACCCACCAATGAGGCATTTTATTATGGACCGTCTAATATCTAGACGGAACAAAGATAAAACGAACCCCATTGTCATTAGTGTGAATATAACCAAACTTCAGAACACATGCTTTATCCTCCCCTATTATTTATTGATTATTAACCAAGGCCTTCTGCCCCTAAAACTCACTTTCAGATTCCGAATCACTTTAATGGTTAAAACCACATTATTCTTCCTAAGCGTCATGTCCTTTTATTTTTATTTTTCTTATTACAAGTAGACAGAGAGCTGACTGATCTCATGGATGCTCATCAATTAAGGCCGATCAAAAGAATCTCAAGTGTCCTAAATTATTGTGAGTTGCTCAATGTTTTATTTTTCTAACCATGAAAATTTTGCAATCTACTCTTTCATATCCTCTGGTCCGCTATTAGCCCTTGCCATCTCTTAATCACATATAATCTGACTTGTTTCTTATAACCTTTACCATAAGTTATCTTCATAGCAGTACGATATATGGAATGGATATCTAACCCATAACACAAATGCTTTTACCATCTGATTTGCTGGTAACATCGAACTTGTAGAGACAGTGTATTCCAACTATGGTCCAGATATGGCACGAGTGACTTCGTTCAACACTGTTATTAAATCCTCAGATATTCCGGATGAATATAAGGTTGATGCTTTTAAAAGCCCCCAACTTCGCATGTATCTATTCTCGACTCTATTCTGTAATTACCTTACCTTTTTTGTAATTGCACAAAACAATTTCATAGCTCTATGTTTTACAATGTGATTATTTTTCTATGATTTGATAATAAACGAGTAAAGTGTGAGACCTTAATTTTATTTGGTTCGATGATATTTTATGGGTTCATGGAGGACAAAATATTTTATGCTGCACGAAACTAGTTAAATGTCGTTATCAGTCAAATCTAGCTTAGTTCTTTATCAGAATTTAATAACTTATTGTGGACAATTTAATTTATCAGTTAAGAGGAATGAAAGATTTACTGACTTAGAATATCTCCTTACCATTCAGTTTAAATCCATATAGGAAATTTCTGAAGACACGTTTTCTGTATCTAGGACTGAAATAATGGTGTATGGCTTTTTTAATTCGTCATCATGATGTAGATCATGACCATGTTAGTGATATACACTCTCTCTGCTGAGATACTGTCACGCATTGATAGTTTCACTTTCAGGTGAACATAGTGGAACTTTATAGCTTGATTTCTTCACCTTTTTTAAAACTGCATTAATACAGACCCAGCGATGATTTATCATCAAATATGGTTCTAATATTAGGTTTATGTCAGTCGCAATATGTATAAAGAACAAGTATTAAGTGAAGAGGCTTTTGGCGATATCTATATGTTTTATAAACTCAACAATTGATGAGTAATAATGTAAATCGAAGTAGACTTTCTGAAAATATCAAACTCTGAAAAGTTAACGTGTTTGAAATACACCAGTTGTTTAATATCCCAAATTTTTCTTTTTCATAAGGACATTCAACTAAATCATAATAGCTTATGTTGTTTCATCTCTGTTCAGTTTCCCCCACAGATTCCATAAATGAATTGAAACATTCTATACTCAAATAGTTAATATCTTTTCGTATCTATAGTATAATAGGTATTGTGTTGTTTTGCATATTGATACATTGTAGTATATTTGATAGTCTATTCACTACGACAGATATCAACGACGGTCAGTTAATTATCTTTTTTTTTGAAGTGTTCTTTTTACTTCTTAGCATCATACCAGCGTAAACTATTCAACTTGCTATCTAAGAGTACTAAATCGTCAGTTACGTAATTTAATATACAAAGGATTAATAAAGAGTGATACATTATCCTGATAGTTTATAGTTATTCCATTATTAGTAAAACCAACTCATTAACAATACTATCTTCAGATATAATACAATAGTGTAATTATATCTACAAACAATAAATGAATATTGTAACAAACTTGTAGATCTCTGATATACATAAATTTACAGTCTATAAATTTTTTGTTGTTGGCATTTCTTCAACAGAAAATAGATATCACATTCCGATTGAAAAGGTTATCTCACAAAAAAATATGATTCGAATAAAATTTTAATTTATAAAAATTTGTTTGAAATGGATTGATTTACTTTTGTATAGATTTTTTTTTCAAAAAAAAATAAGGAAGAGAATAAACCAAGACATTTTTTATGACAAAACTGTAAGTATTTTATGAATATTGTTTTTTTTTCTTTTCAAAGAAACATGCTGGAGGGTGTGTCATATGTATGTTCTTTAATTTATTATTCACTTACATTTTTTTTGGTTTCCGGTTGCCTTGATTCCTACAAAAATAACAAAAAAAAGAGTAGAAGGTGTGGTAGTTTGGATAGAAATTTTAAGATCCTTAACAACGATTTATTTTGTAATTATCTGAGTTTATATTTAGCTTCAAATTCTTCAAAAAGTGTATATATTTGATACAATATCAAATAGTGAAATGAGCGCTTTTTTCACAAATCGTTTACTGTAAATAACGAAAATATCAGAGAAATTCATGTTACATGATAGCATAAAGTGAATGAAATTCCGCATCTTCATTACTATAAGTTGTCTTTTAAATAACTTCACTTCAGAACAAATGAATAACAAAAGTTCAGTTGCGAGCCACTTTCCTTGTTAGTTGTTTAGATTCATTAATGCTATGGTTGTTGGTTTATTGGCAAGAATTACTAAGCAAAATAAATCTATCTAAATAATTGTTTAGAATGTTGGTTTAAAGAAAACTGATATTTTTTTGAGTAGCTTAAATACCAAATGTTGAACACTAACTGCATGTTTTTTTTTTTACAAAAAATTCATTTCCTATCATCATCTATCCTTCTTTTTGCATGTCAATGAAGGTTCACTTACTCGACATCTAAGAAATGGAATTTAGAAACAAAGAAACGTTTATGTGAATAAGCCATGAGTAAAAAGTACCAACAAAACAAATTTATTAGTGAATTAAATAAACGATCAAAAGTTTAGACTTATTGAAAGATTGATAAAGCTATGGTCCATTTACACTGAACAGAATACGCTGACTTATAAACCAGGACGTAAAATTTAATAAACATTTGAATAATTATTATATATATATATTCATTATTATATACTAATTTTGCTAAACTCCAGTGTTTCCAAAACGTTTCATTTATCTTGTATGTGATTTACCTGTTGCGGCTCTAGACCATATATAACCTTTTTATTGAATCTGATTTAGTTTTTAGTTTAGTGAGTCTGTGAGCTGCAATCTGAGAATAAACAGATTGATATTTATTCAGTGTAACCTCTTCATAAGTCTATCCATTTTAGCTCTGATGATATGAGTCCATACTATACTAATATCAATCGATTTTATCCTAAATGACACAACTGTCACTGGTTTTTATTTAATTAGCTACCTCAAAGCTTAAAGATACGAAACTTGCGATAATGGTTTGTTTGTATGAACAGATCGTGAAGCTAAATAAAATTGATATTAGGTACATGGTTCATATAAATCTATCCATCTGCTTAATTTACTGTTAGCGGTGTGGAGCTGAAAACATTGGTTCTTTTATGGAGGTAGAAATTATAAAATGCGAAGTTAGCTATTACGTCCAAAGTTGTTAAAGGTAGCGATGATATTCAGATATACAAATATCAAATATGAAGCATTCCTCTAAAATGCTGATGAAAATTATGGCAATGTTGAAATTTAATCAAATCATAGAGATAATCCCAAATGAACCATCTATGATGAGAAATATTTTTGTTGGAACATAAAGTAACGTAATATTTATAATTTTGTTACATAATGACAAATGGTATCAATATCAAGTTTAGAACTGGTAGTTTCAAATAAATTGAGCACTGTGTGGAGAGTTAATAATAAAAAACCGACATTTAAATGTTGGTTATTCACGTATTCTGCAGAAGTCGCTTACATTAAGTCACGAAACATCAGGAATACAATTTTCCTACTTATTAGCATACAACAAAAATATATTTATTATAATGACAAATGGTTCATTTTAATTTTTAAGTGGCTAGGCTTGATAAATAACCTGATGATGGTTAGATATGGTCATTGAAAGAATTATTAAAAGAGAGTATTGCTTCACCCACTTCATACTGAAAACCCGTTGAAGTGTTATTTAATGAATCTGTTGTTTCACTAAATCTTACTAAGAGTAATGACCCCATAATATCCACTAAATTCAAGACAAAATGCGCAGACAGCAAATTAAGAAAAAACTGCAGGTTTTGAAGGCAATGAGATGTAAAGGAAACTAATGTTGAGGTAGTAAACACTCATTTTTTTCAACCAAAACATACACCAGCATTTTTAATATAACGATGATGAAAAATAGTAAGTAGAAATATACTTTCGATCATAGGTGAATTTACCAAACTAATATCCAGAAGAGCTTGTTTTGCGAGAAATCGTTCTCGTTGAATACGTTCTTTCAAACTACTTGGTACATCTGGGATGAAGAAATCTAGAGCGTTTGCCAAAACAAATGCCACGTGCTATAAAATTAAATTTGTCGTCATTAATGAAATCAATTATCCACTAAGATAAAAGTAAATTAAATGAAATATATGTAATCAAAGTCATTACTGTTAGAGAATATTATTTAGTTTCTTTGGTGATTATCCTGATTACTTGTTGCACCAAATTAAAACAACCGCCTGAATCAAGACAGCAATTGCTTGTGAGATATATTTAAAAAAAACCCTGATAAGACAAAAATCTCAATTATGTTTCATTTAAATTGACAATTTTGTAACAAACATTTTTAAGTAAAGAACATTTATTCATTTGTGAACAAAACTATATGTTAAACAAATGTGGGGATTTTCCACTAGTTCATTTATTGAAAACAACCTATTGTAATTGAAGTAAAACGTTTCCATTTTATTTAATTGTTATTTTCTTATATAGTTGGATGGTTGCTCAGTGCTTTTTTTTATCTTGGAACCAAATTAATTCAACATTAAAATTTAGTGCACTGTTTTAAAAAAATATTTATAATATTCTCGGAAAAAAATTTTTGTAGTTTTATTTACAAGAATTGCACAAAACCAACCATAATTATATCGAGTTAGCTATAGGGAATACAATTACTCAGATAAGCAAAGATGGATAGTGGCTAGCAGTGGAATCCAGTTTGATGCGCGTTTCGTCCTATTTGGGACTCGTTAGCTGGATGTGCCTGCATCTCAGAGTTGATGTTCACTCTGGGACTCGAACCCAGTATCTTTCGCTTCAAATACCATCGCGTGACTTAAAGCAATATTGAGGCAATACGCACAGTATGAACATATGCCAATAAGAGACTGACTAGTTGCAGTCCTAAGCATCAATGGGAAGATTCAAACAAACAATACTAAGTGAATTACTCAGATAAGTTCACTGTGTTTATCTGTATTGTAAAAACTGTTTTTGTTTTATAAAATGTCTTGTAAAATGTACTATAATCAGCAATTAAAAACATTACATACAAGTCACTAGTTCACATGAATAAGAATACAAAAACTGGAAATTGTGTTATATCATGTAAACAAAGTTACCCTACCTATTATACCCATTTATTAGATAAACAGACTAATTTTAACGAACTACTTAACAAAAATCCATTTACCATACTGCAGTATTCTATTAAAGACTTTATGCTCATGTGAAATAGACTATACGTTGCTAATTATCAGAAGGGGTTTTGTGGAAATTTAGTATTTTTCATAGTAGAAAGCATGAGTCAATTGAAGCTAGACCACCATGGAAAATCTGGAAACACTGAATGGCCATTTCGTCCTATTATGGGACTCCTCAGCAGTGCGCATCAACGAACCCGCTCTCGCGAGATTCAAACCCAGGACCTACCAGTCTCGAGCCGAAGCCCTTAACCGATAGACCACTGAGCTGGCATCCAACGGTGTTAATGTCTAACTTCAACTGATCCACGAAGTTGAGCAACCATTCACCAATTGTCTTCAGTGAGTTCCTATCTCACAACAGACGTGGTTTTGAACTCCACTGGTCACTGCTTCTCACTAGAGCTCCTATCGGTTAAGGGCTTCGGCTCGAGACTGGTAGGTCCTGGGTTTGAATCTCGCGAGAGCGGGTTCGTTGATGTGCACTGCTGAGGAGTCCCATAATAGGACGAAACGGCCATTCAGTGTTTCCAGATTTTCCATGGTGGTCTAGCTTCAATTGACTCATGCTTTCTACTATGGAAATATACGTTGCTAAGAAAACATTTTATTAGCTCATATATACATATTCATATAGTTACCTCAAAAACAATCACGAACGCTAGACGGAGAGCCAAAAGTCTCCAGAAAAACATCGAATATTCACCATTATTGTCCCGAAAAGCTTTATACCTGTTAAGTATGGAAAATTAACTTATACAGTTAGTGGATGCCTTTACACAAATTGTTTAATCCATCAAACCAAATGATGATTTTAAAAATTATTTGTATTTTTTAAAAGGGAAGTTCTACTTATAAAATCACTGTATATTATGATTTACTATCTCGAGCGGAATTCCTAAAAAAATTTATATGACAGTAGTACTCATTTCTACCTATAAGAATACCGATTAACTTATTTATGACATTTAAAAATATCATTTATTTTGATTATCCCTAATCTATGTATATACTAGTTTAGATATGACTATCCTTCATATAGTGTTTCATTCTATTAAAACATGATTTCTCAGAACTCTGTTAAATAGTTCTGTAACTAGCTCAAAAGCATTTTTTGTGAGCAAAAACTGTTCGCTTGAGAGAGGTTTGACATGAAGGTAATAGTTGCTCATTAATGAGTGTAATAGCTTGAATTTAAAAATCTTACGCGAATTCAAAGCACATAATGAAGAAACGAGTTTTTGAGTTGAATTTCCATTATTTTCTCCTTTAGGTACTATTAAACCAAATCAGAATAAGTATGAACATAAATATTTACTCCATATTGTTTATACAGTTTTTGATCACTATTCGAACTACAAATATCAAACTCTCACTAGCAAATTTTTCAGCGAGGTTATTTTCCCAATAGAATATGCCTTACTTGAGGTAAGATATCAAAATGACCTTAAACAGTCTTTTACTATTTAAATACCGTAAATGCTTTACTTTTTCCCTTTTCTCAGCCTCATCACGATAGTATATACAACACTATCTATGAGACGTCTGTGTCCATTTGTAATACTAACCAGACGTACGTGTTTTACATTTCTCAAGATATATGTGTCATAGTGTGGGGGATTGGCAATGGTTATCCATAGAGCTTCAAATTTTTTATTTTGCTTATCTTTAGAAATTCTTAAAATAATAAATAAACCCGTCTAATTAAAGGTACTTCATTATTGTAATAGTTCCTTCTGTTACATTATATCTCTCTAAAGTTCGAAGAGACAAACAACTGTTTCTTTATTCAATGTTATCTTAACATCTTTATTTCCCTGTTGTTTTGTAGGCTAGAATATATATATATATATATATATATATATATATATATATATATATACCTGCTTTCCTCAAGTCAATTATTTATCTCAACTTCCAGTGATTATCATCGTGATCGGTACTATTACAAAGCGTAAGCAGATATCTAAATACCGATGTTAAAGGCCCCTAATATCAATTATCCATTTCACTTCAGATGTATATCTATATAGTATATCTAAAAGAGTCTGTTTATTTCTAGCTGTATACTGAAGATATATGATGATCTTAAGGGAACCTGTAACACCGATGGCCTAATATAGTTCATTTTATTTTGTTATATTTATAATCATAAGAACAACTAATTAACTAAGTATTTCTTGAATATCATGAATCAAAAAAGGAAACGTGAACACTTATTCAGAAAAGCTTTAAAAACAGCAGGACGCACTTCGACGGCTGTATACCTGGACAGGTTATTACAGATGCTAGCTGTTTACTGACAAGATATATTTGTGACTAAACTAATTATTTGATTGAGGTGTAGTAGTAGAAATAAAATAACATTTTGACAGTCGAATTCACGACTTGAGATTGACTCTTGAATTCAACTGTTACAATACTACAATCTACATAAATCCCCATACCGAAATTAATATTTGCTTTAAAAATGCAGCTTGACAAGTTTTACTTATTGATATCTATAATGTTATTGTGTCTACAAATACATGTAATAAAATACAAAATAATAAAGTCTACATCATCATTGATCTTGTTAGCAAAGCACGTGGCTGTTATGTAATAAACGTGATAAATCCACAGAAGCTACGTAGTTTGAGAAAAATCGGTAATAGTTAATTATTTTGGACGTGGTTTTATTTGATATTGTTTTTAAGATCAACTTTGACACAAATGAATTTTACAATCCAAGAACAGATCTCCTGTATACTTTGATTGTAGTCGTTCAACCTTTCCTCAAGTTACTGAGATATGGTTTTCAGCATCAAAGCATTCCACTTAGACAAGTGAGAAAATATCAGTGTTCAACTAAATAGTTATAAATATATTTTCAATTTCTTTGAACATTAGGTGATAAAAATAATAATGACATTAGTTTCATTAAATTTATTATTGAAAATTTATTATCATTCAGCTGAAGCAACTCATTCATCAATCAATCCATTTATTAATTAGTAATATTAAATATCGTTATGAAGCTGCTGAGTTTGACTGTATATCACCTTATCTCAATAGCTAGCAGGCATAGAATGAGTCAGGAGTAGGTACTTTTGTAATTTAATAGCTATTCTCTGAATATTAGGTACCAATGCCAAGGTTGAACTTGATAGTTTCAAGTAAATTGAACATTGAGTGGAAAGTTGGTAATAAATATATTTTTTGTCAAATATTAGTGAATAGAGGCCGATGTACCTTCTAACCACCAGAGCAACAATTTTTATAGGTACATGGAATGTCCGGACAATGTGGGAGACCGGAAGAGTCTTCCAAATTGCTGCAGAAATGAGAAAATACAACCTGGAGGTGCTTGGAATCAGTGAAACGCATTAGACGCAGGTTGGACAACAACGACTGTCTTCAGGAGAACTTCTGTTATACTCCGGTCATGAAGAAGAAAATGCCCCACATACACAAGGAGTGGCGTTGATGCTGTCCAGAAAAGCATAAAATGCACTTATAGGATGGGAATCTCATGGACCAAGGATCCTCAAAGCCTCCCTCAAAACAAAGAAAGAGGGCATTACAATGAACACCAAATGCTATGCGCCTAACAACGACTACGATGAAGACGTTAAAGACCAATTCTATGGTAGGCTGCAGTCGATCATTGAGAAGTGCCCAATCAAGGACCTGAACATTGTGATGGGAGATTTCAATTCCAAGATTGTAATGGACAACACTGGATATGAAGACGTCATGGGACAACATGGACTGGAAGAAAGGAACGAAAATGGTGAGAGATTTGCAAACCTATGTGCCTTCAACAAACTGGTCATAGGCGGCACTATAATTCCACACAAACGCATTTACAAATCCACATGGACTTCACCGGACCACACTAGGCAGAACCAAATCGACCTTATCTGCTTAAAAAAAATTCAGGAGGACGATGGAGCATGTGAGAACCAAGAGAGGAGCTGATATAGCATCAGGTCATCATTTGCTGGTCGCCAAGATGAAACTATAACTTAAGAAGCACTGGACAACGGCGCGGGCAACATTACAAAAGTTTAATACGGCCTTTCTTCGAGATGCTGACAAACTCAACAAATTCAAGATAGCTCTCAGCAACAGATTCCAGGCCTTTCATAGTGGAGAGGGAACTACTATGGAGAGCAACTGGAAAGGAATAAAAGAGGCAATCACTTCGACATATCATGAGGTTCTGAGCCACAAAAAGCATCACCACAAGGAATGGATCACTGTTGATAAACTGGATGAGATTGAAGAATGGAGCACCATGAAGGCAGCGAAGGCACAAGCCGAATACACAGAAACAAACAGGCAAGTGAAGAGGAGCCTCAGAGTCAATAAGCGTAAATATTTGAAGATCTAGCGATGACGGCGGAAAAGGCTGCAAGAAAAGGAAACATGAGACGATTGTATTATACAACAAAGAAGCTCACTGGAAATTACCGTAAACCAGAAACGACCAGTGAAAAGCAAGGAAGATTTGGGATGAAGAACAAGTACCAACAGACTGGACAGAAGGACTTCTGATCAAGATACCAAAAAAGGACGATCTTAGTAAGTGTGATAACTACAAGGGAATTACTCTTCTCTCAATACCAGGAAAAGTCTTCAACAGGGTATTGTTAAACGGAATGAAGGACTCCGTGGACGCCCAACTTCGAGATCAACAAGCTGGATTTCGTAAGGATCAGTCGTGTACAGACCGAATCGCAACTCCACGGATCATTGTGGAGCAATCGATCGAATGGAATTCATCACTCTACATCAACTTCATTGACTACGAGAAGGCATTTGATAGCGTGGACAAGACAACACTATGGAGGCTTCTTCGACACTACGGCGTACCTGAGAAGATAGCCAATATCGAACGGAATTCCTTTGTTGGATTGAACTGCCAAATCGTCCATGGAGGACAACTCATTGACTCGTTTGAAGTAAAGACCGGTGTCAGGCAAGGTTGCTTACTCTCATCCTTTCTCTTTCTCCTGGTGATCGACTGCATCATGAAGACGTCAACATCTGGAGGGAAGCACGGGATAGAATAGACAGATAGGATGCAAATGGATGATTTAGACTTCGCAGATGACTTGGATCTTCCATCACACATGCAACAACAAATGGAGAGGACAACCAGTGCAGAAGCAGCCTCATCAGCAGTAGGTCTCAACATAAACAAAGGGAAAAGCAAGACTCTCCGATACAACGCAACATGCACCAATCGAATCACACTTGATGGAGAAGCTTTGGAGGATGTGGAAACCTTTACATATCTGGGCAGCATCATTGATGAACACGGTGGATCAGATGCAGATGTGAGGGCGCGGATCGGCAAAGCAAGAGCAGCATATTTACAACTGAAGAACATCTGGAGCTCAAAACAATTGTCAACCAACACCAAGGTTAGAATTTTCAATACAAATGTCAAGACAGTTCTTCTGTATGGGGCAGAGACGTGGAGAACTACGAAAGCCATTATCCAGAAGATACAAGTGTTTATTAACAGCTGTCTACGCAAGATACTTCGGATCCGATGGCCAGACACTATCAGCAACAAGTTACTGTGGGAGACAACAAACCAGATTCCAGCGGAGGAAGAAATCAGGAGGAAGCGCTGGAAGTGGATTGGGCACACTTTGAGGAAATCATCCGATTGTGTCACAAGACAAGCCCTCACATGGAATCCTGAAGGTCAACGGAGAAGAGGGAGACCAAAGAACACATTAGGCCGAGAAATGGAAACAGATATTAGAAGAATAAACAAGAACTGGATAGAATTAGAAAAGAAGGCCCAGGACAGAGTGGGTTGGAGAAAGCTGGTCGGCGGCCTATGCTCCATTGGGAGTAACAGGCGTAAGTAAGAAAGTAAGCAAAAAATCTTCTGTATTGCTTCTTTTTCACTATTTAAACTTGGGTTAATTTAGTTTGGTTATTTACTTACTCTGAAGAAGTGGCTTACATTAAGTTACGGAACATCAGAAATACAATTTTCTATTCAATAATATATAACAAAAAATGTATTTATTATTGACTTTCTACCCAACTGTCCAAGTTTAATTATTACAAAGAGAATGATTAGAATTTATTCATCATTTTGAACGTTATAAACAAAGCATCAGAAACTATTGAATATCAAAAACAATCGACTTGGAACTGTATTTTCAAACTATTAATATTATTTAGTTATTTATGTTATTTAAATCACAACAATTTCGTATCACACCTATAATGTGATCTTAGTTTATTGGTTTAGCGACATTGCAGTTGTAATAAGTAATAACTTAAGTCAAGCAAATTGTAGATAATTTACCCGTTCTTCTATCTACTGCATTTAGCTGGAAATCTGTCACCAGCTATGTAGCTGTCAATTATCAGCATGTAGACAGAATACTTTGAAAACTTATTTAGTGGAAAAAGAAAACACAGGAACTACTTTGTCTTGTATTCGTTTATATTCAACTGCTATAAATATGTGTGGATTTGATTGCTTTTAGAAATAAATTTGCTTAATTTCACAGTAAATTAGTTAGTAGTAAATATCAGGAAATTCACTAACCTGCATGGTTGTGATGTAGTATTTGGAGGAGCCCACGCTAGAGTAAAATTAGTAAATCCTACTAAATCATTTCTAACTTCATGTTTATACATGAGTTCAGGGAGAAAACTTGACCTGAATGCAATGATGAAGGCCTGAAACAGTAGGTTGAAAAGTACACATACAAAGTATCAATTTCTGAATGATCAAGATTTAATCGAATAAGCGAATTTTATTGAGCGATATAGTTGAATTCACCCGTGATAAACACACGAAGGTTACAAAAATAAGATGCTTTATTTTCCTCTACATACTTTCGGAATGGCGTCTGTCGATCAGTATAGGTGAAGATACCGAAAAGGCAATTGGTTAATTTGAATTATGTACTATATTCTGATGAGAAGCATAAAGAAATTGAACTTAAGTCTACTAATTATTACGAGGTCTTATTTACTTTGGTGTGCAAATGGAGTATGAAGTGATGATTGAAGAACAGGATTAAAACAAAATGTAATTCTAATCCGCACATACTTAGTGTCTTGTTGGCTGACAACAAGTATTAATTTTATTTCAATAATTACATACTTTAGTAGATTATCATATGGATATTAGGTTCACTACTACCTATATTCCCATATTAGCGCATTTATGATACGATTTTGATCAATAAAATCGAAAAAGTTCAAGTTTCACGCCTAAGAATAGGCATGAAAATGAATGTGCCTTTGAATTCGGCAATGCACTGCCTCAGTGCTCATTATTTAAAATACAGCTGAAACATTTGCTCAATGTTACAATGTTGTCGTTCATCATCTGGAGAAACAGTCTGACAATCTGAAAACTGATCCTTTTACTAACGCAACCCAGTTTTTTACGTTATTTAATCTTAACTACATAAGATCACTTTAGAAACTAACGAGTGACACCACTTAAAAACAAGGCGCTTGAGTTTATTTGAGTTTGGCTTTTCAATTAAATAGTTTGATTTTAACTTTTGTATTTCCATTCGACATAACATCCATTTGTAATTCGTACCAAAGAAGTTGACTAAATCGACATAGGTTGCTTTGAAACTTTTATTTTGAATATATTTTGCAAAAACTCATTCAATTTAAACATTGTTTCATCGTTAATAAATATCAGCTTATAAAAGGCTAGAAACAAGACAGGAAGGCCGCTACTTACGAAAGTAAGTAAAGAAGTAAACACATACGATCTCAGTAGTGGACAGAAACCAGGACCTTCTGTTGTCTTGGTAAGCATAGCACCATTGAGTTCCCAAGTCGGAATTTAATCGCTTATTTTATTAAATTATGATATATTGAGTCAACAATAAGCACACAGTTATTAATCATGTATCGTATTAAGGTTCGTTTATTACAACGGTAGCTTTCACCACGGATAGACATTAGCCGAACTGAGAATTATGAATCAATATGTTTGACCACTTCATTTTCGCAAACTGATTTTCAGAGCAAAAGTGATATAAAACTGGCTAGTTTTCATACATTTAAGCGGATGTAATATATAACTTATGGGTTAGTAAACTGTCTGATAGGTTTTTTACCACTGCTTACCGTTTCAACAATATTTTATGCACTAAATTTTGATTAAGAAAATTATCCATCCTAATCGAAATAATAAAATATCCAGTACTTGGGATGTGTAAAAGTGAATGTATTTAGAACTTGTAGCCAAAAACATGGTTCACTTCTAATCATCCAAAATTAATTCAATGCTCTTTCACTACATTATATAAAGAAATAACAAACTGCTTGAAAGCATTTTTTTAGAATTGATGAATTGTAAGGTATCTATGTATCTTAGTCATATATCTTCATTGTTTCAATAGATTGAATTTTATGTAGAAGGAGTTGTTGATGGTTTCTCAAAAACAATTTTGAGGTCAAATATTTAAAACACAATATGAATTCTATTTAAAGTTACCTTCTATCAAGCACAACTAGTAACACATTGAGTTTCTTTCTTAACTAGGGAGTGCTGATGGAATTGATGAACTGGAAATTTGACTAGGTTAAGAAATAATTTTGAAAAATTGTAATTTAAGGGCCACGGACTACTTACTTATTTACGCCTGTTACCCCTCGTGGAGGAGCATAGGCCGCCCACAAGCACTCTCCATCCAACTCTGTCCTGGGCAATCCTTTCTAGTTATTCCCAGTTAACATTCATCCTTTCTATATATGTTTCTGTAATGTGTTCTTTAACATTCCTCTTTTCCGTTTCCCTTCACGATTCCAAGTTAGCGCTTGCCTCGTGATGCAGTTTGGTGATTTCCTTAATCTATGTCCGGTCCACTTCCAACGTCTTTTCCTAATCTTTTCTTCAAATGGAAGCTGGTTTATCCTCTCCCACAGTAGGCTGTTACTGATAGTATCCAGCCAGTGAATGTTAAGTATTTTGTGTAGACAAATGTTTAGAAATACTTTTACCTTCTTATCGACGATTGAAGTAGTTCTCCACGTTTCAGATCCGTACAGTAAAACTAACTGTCTTCACGTTCGTATTAAATATTGTCACTTTGATATTGGTTGAGAGTTGTTTTGAGTTCCATATGTTCTTCAATTGTCGGAATGCGGTCCTTGATTTGCCGATACTCACCTTTACATCTGCATCAGATCCTTCTTGTTTATCAATGATGCTTCAAATATACGTGAATGTTTCCACACCTCCCAGAGTTTCGCTATCGAGTATGATGTGGTTGGTTGATGTTCTCCGTGTTGTATTTGAGAATCTTGCTTTTCCTTTGTGTATGTTGAGGCCTATTGATGCAGAGGCTGTTGCTACATTACTTGTCTTCATCTGCATTTCTTCGTGTGTATGGGATAGGAGGGCTAGGTCATGTGCTTAGTCCAACTCGTCTAATTGATTCTGAGATATTCATTGTATTCCGTACTTCCGCCCAGATGTCGAGGTTTTCATAATCCATCGAATCACCATAAGAAAGAGGAGAGAGGAGAATAGAAAGCCTTATCTGACTCCCGTCCTTACTGGAAATGCATCTGTCAGCTGTCTTTCATATACGACTGGGCACTGTAGTTCGTCGTATGAGTTCTGGATAATGTACACCATAGTGTCGAAAAAGTTTCCATGTTCTCCGGTTCACACTGTCAAACGTGTTCTCATAGTCAATGAAGTTGATGTATAGTGACGAGTTGCACTCAACTGATTGTTCGAAGATGATCCGTAATGTCGCTATTTGATTGCAGCCTTAAGTAGAAATGATCTTTGTCGTCGTCGCTGCGATCATTCGTGGGTGCATGACATTGGATAACATTCATTGTGATCCCCTCCTTCTTTGTTTTGAATGATATTTGGATTATCCTGGATCCGCGAGATTCCCATCCTATAAGTGCATCTCGTGCTTCTCTTGATAGCATCAGAGCAACTCCCTGAGTGTGTGGAGCATTTTCTTCTTTGTGATTGGAGTACAGCAGCATCTCTCCCGTACCTAGTCTTTGCTGTCCAGCTTGTGTTCAATGGGTTTCGCCGATTCCGAGTACTGCCAATTTGTATCTCCTAATTTCAATTTCTATTTGACTGGTCCTCTGGGTCTTCCACATTCTCCGAACGTTCCATGTACTGATAAAGAGTGTTGCTCTGGTCGTTAGAAGGGGCATCTGCCTTGTGACTTCCGAAGGATCTCTGCTTTCATCCTGAGGCGTCATAATTCTTCCTTGAACTCGGAGGGCAGAGTTTAAATGGTTTGAATTATCTTTTATCGTTAGCGTTTTTTTAACGAGTTAGTCTTCCACGGGATGGGGTCGCTAAACCTATCCATTCAGTAAGTAATAAGCATTTTTAAAAATCCCAGTGTATAAGTTTCACTTCATTATTTTAGCCTAGTTAAATACATCAATGTAACATCATACTTGTTAGAAATTATCATTAACTGCTAGTTAGAAACGTGTTTGTTTTATACATGAATCAAACGACACGTCAGATAATTAGAGAAGAATTAAAAATAAAATATTCTATAAGATATCACATTGCTAGTAATGGTACAAAGAAATACAAAGCATGTACACGAATATAAGAAAAGTTATAAAACATTTGAAATTTGTACAACCAATTTGTAGTTACAGTTCAGTCTGACTAGAAAAATTGTTTATCACTCGTATATTAGAAAACAATTTTACTTACATTTGAAATCACGGCCAATCGAACAAGAAAATCTAATATTCTAAACCAAACGCCTATATTTTGTGCTCGTTCCGCCAATGGTCTACGTGTTTCACACACTAGCTTTTTGGCGTCTAAACGAATTTCAATCCAGTTGTTAAGTAGCGCGAATAATGGGGCTAGTGGGAAGGCAGCCACAAAGATTGTAATGAACCCGAATTGAAGAACTATAACAAAGTTCAATAGAATTGAGGCTATAGTTTTTGCTATATATAGTATTATTTTTATTATCGGAAATATTAAAGAATTCAATTTTATCTAACCGGGTAGACTATTCTTAATCTACTGAATAATTAGCATTTCTTTAAAATGTCTAGTGTAATGTGTCTGTAATGATTAAATAATGATTAATTATTTTACTGCTTTACTGAACACAACTCAAACGAAATATTCATATGTAGCAACACAAATTTTCCGGACCTATACTATTACTCTACTGGGTAATAAGAACAGGTAAAATAATTTGTGTGAAACAGTAGATTTGAGTAGTCTTTACAATACATAATCAATTTTGCAAATTTTGCTTATAGTTAATTACATTTCATTGGGATATTGAAAGCATTATTTCGGAGGAAATATATTATTAGCAGATATTGAATGACACTTAGATTTTATACCAGATTTATACTAAATTATTGTGATCACTCACTGATCAAAGTTAGATAATCACTGAGAAACTGAAAGGACTGGACAGAAAATTCATTCAAGTAAGGTAATCTTGAGTAATTTGTATCTACGACTCCTACAATTCCTACCACTGAAGAACATATAGAACTCAAAAAAAATATCAGCCGGCATCAAAGTCAGAATCTTCCATACAAACGTTAAGACAGTTTCTATTGAGCCGAAACATAGAGAACTACCACAGCCATCATCAAAAATGTATAAGTATTTATGAACATCTGTCTACAAAAGACACTCCATATCTGATGACCAGACGCCATTAACAAAAAACTAGACGTAGAGGAAATTAAGAAAAAACGCTAGAGGTGGATAGGACAGACATTTTGGAAATCATCAAACTGCATCACGAAGCAAGTTCTAACTAGTAATCCTGAAGGCAAAAGTAAAAGAAGAAGACAAAAGAATACATTGCACCGTGAATAGGGGCAGACATGAAAAGAATAAATAGCACTTGTTTACAACTGATCTTTTCAGTACTTACTAATGTAATAATAGTATTTTTATTAAACTCGAACAATCGATTAAATGAGTTGCATCATTTAAAACAAACTTCAATGATTTCTATTCATAACTGTTTCTTAGTTTTAGTGAATACGAAATAAAATTCGGAAGACAAGAAATAGATACAAGAATCTGATTAAGTACTAAATAGTACCATTATGATCTAACACACTGATTTTGGCATATTCACATAACGCCAAACAGCGAATTTCCTACATTAGTTGTAAACGCCAGCTCTAAGCGTATCTGTAATAGTAATATATATTAATGCATTTAGGTTAAGTTATTTGACAAACAAAATGTAATGAACAAAGCACGTTTCATACTACTATATCTAATTAAATTTATCTTTTTCTTAAAAAAATTAATCGAAGTAATAAAATAAGGGTCAAACTATATTTAAAAAGAATATTATGAACTTTGAAATAAATAGCCGATTTTTTTAGTTTCCAACTAAATCTTGAGTTTTGATTTAAGTTCAGTTCGACATGCTAGGCTTATAAAATCCCTTCCTGTTAAATGTACACATAATATGATTTGATTTCTAACAATTTTTTGTGATATTATTATTTTCAAAACAAACTCTAAATTTCAGTTGATAGATCATTGAGTAGTGATTCTTCAGTATTGATCGAACTCTATTGATCGTGTTCCAATGTGGTCATAAGTTCAAGTGAATTGACTTGATGTACAAGATATTGAGTTGTTATGGGGTTTGAGGCAGTCGGGTGGAAACCTTTATCTAGGTTTCATACTAGCTTGCACGCATCAGCAAGATGCACCAATCATTTTGAGGAAAGTGATGTTCTCTCCTGGATCTGAAGCAAGTTTATTTACCTGTTGTAAGATTGATTGATCATGAACTCGGCCACTACTCATGGATGGTGTAAAGGTTATTCTCTCGCTGAATAGTTCAGTCGCAAGATTTTAGACTGTGAAACCAATCTATAGGGGTCCAAATCCTTCAAGGAAAAATTATTTCTCTTGAGATGACAGATAAACTTTACTTACAAATACTGATTAGTATGAAACATAGCTTACAGGTTTCCTGCTTACCACTAACAATCACTTGAAACAGTAATTATGTGAGCTTTAAACTTAATTTAAATTGAGAACATGTAATTAGTTATGTTTAGTTTCTACCAAAATTTATCTATGAATTTATGGGTCTATTTAAAATAGTCCAAGAAAAATAAATATGCAGTTACTCAATTGTGTTCTTTGATCACTCTAAATTACCACCGCAAAATGTTTCTGTAGCTTTCACCTAGCCTTCATAATAAAATAACTGTTACTATGATTTTCACCCTGAGGCTCAAAATATATGCCCTTTTTTATGAATTGTTCCTAGGTTTGCACTTAAATTCACCAACTGGGAGGTATAAAATAGTAGACTTTAGTTTTTATATTTATTTGCTCATACCAATACAGATTGTTTGTAGCATTGAAGAAATGTATTTTTCCCCAGATATAAACTATTTTCCTTAGTCGAAGCTGTTAAGGTTACCATGTTTCAAAATATTATTTCAAATAGATCAGAAAGTATGGGATAGTTGAAATTATTACTTTTTTAATCATTTGGCTTATCTGTCCAATCAGAAATGTATGAAACTCATCAGTTGATTTGTCAAGACAATAAATACATGATGAATTATGATGAAATGAAAATAAAATTTATCAAACATCATAAAGGGGAATAAAACGATAAAAGTATATTTTGTTAAAAGGGAGTAAATATATGAAATATTTGAAAAAGTAGTTATAATTTTGGTGTACTTGAATTATGAAAAGCATTTGAATCCATAATATGGGTTTTATTCTATGAGTAATATAATCCTTTTAAACATTAGTAACAACTATTACAAGTCAAGATGGATAGTAGCTAGCAGTGGAATCCAGTTTGACGCGCGTTTCGTCCTATTCGCGACTCGTCAGCTGGGTGTACCTGCATCTCAGAGGTGATGTTCACCCTGTGACTCGAACCCAGTACCATTCGCTTCAAACGCCATCGCGTCATCCACTGAGTTCCAGAGTGAAAGTCAACTCTGAGATGCAAGTACATTCAGCTGACGAGTCCCAAATAGGACGAAACGTGCGTCCTGGATTCCACTGCTAGCCACTATCCATCTTTGCCTATAATGTCTATGAATTATGTCTATGTCGAGGCAATACCCACAGTATGCATATGTGCCACTAAGAGACTGATCAATTGCTGTCCTAAACATCAATGGGAAGATTCAAACAAACAATACCAAGTGAGCAGTAAAATTATTTAAGATATCACAGTAGTGTGTAGAAAGACTTACCCATTTCAAGATATTCATCAAATAATCCTTCATATGGTATTAACTTATAGTCTTCAATAAATATATGCGCTGAGCTCAGATCACTAGTTGAAGCAACATTCCTCTTATTTAATCCCTTTCTGTATTTATGGAACCAAGTACGTAGTTTACTGTGTAATAATTCAGAGATGAATCAACGAAATTTAATTTTTTTAATTTTACAAATCATCCTTTCTAAGTATTTTTAATAAATTAGATAAATGAATAAAACCAATTATCCTAAATCTTCATATACTTATTTTTCTTGTAAACTGTTTGGTTTTTTCAGTAGGGGCTTACAGATAGCAAAACCATTGGGATTTGTGAATATACATTTTAAAACTATGTTGAGCTAGGTTTATAAGATTTATTAGTTATAAGTTAAGTGATCACAGTCATTTTTTATCATTGTTATAGTGAAAATTTTCATTCCAGCGAATGAGAAATAGTCTGGATATACTTTTTCAGAAATAACAAACTATTCTCATAATTACTATAGTCTATAACTTATACCTTCAAATCTGGTTAATCGCTAAGATGATATCATTGTAAAAAACTAAACCGTAGACAATGTTTTCATCAGCGAACATGAGTTTTACGTATAGATGGATAGATTACAGCCATTTCGATATGTCTATTCATGTCTCCTCCTTTTGATGAACTTAACTTTCATTATAAAACTTTAGCATAGTTCACATCTGCAACTCAACACGATGTGTAGAAAAGTATCGCTAGATCTATCAGTGTTAAGTTTTGTTCCATTGTTCAGTATCATTTATTACGATTATCAGCCTTATTAAACGATATTGCGAAAGGTTTATTTCATTGATTGATTTAACTATGAATTACATTTTAACGGAAACCAATCTATACATTTTATGCTAGTATCTCTTTGAGATTCAGTGTAAAACTACAAATTTGAGTTCTACAATAAAATGATGATTTCATCATTGTATGATAACTTACGTAATTGGAAAAGTAGTCGTTTAGATCAAGAATTACTGTCAAAAAATATTTCAGAATATCGTATACTCACGGAAGCAGAATTTCTTGACAATTACTAATGATTTGTTTCCCAACCATTATAACTAGTAATTGTTGGGCTAATTCAATCAAACAACCACCATTATCGCATGCTTCATTACGTAGGCCGAAAAAAGATGTGTAATGACCAGGATAGCCAACCATTCTAGGTTTAAAAAGACGGATAATTTGACAAACATTAAAAATATATCAATCTTCATGACTATGACGTAATCCGAGATTTACGATTAAATAACATTTTTCCCCAAAGAAAACAAAATTGATCTTAGTGGGAATATGATAACCAGTTACAAGGAAAATTAAAATCGACCTATGGTTTGAGACTTTAGTCAGACCTCTTCATCTACTAGGATTATGAAACAATAATTAAGAATTATATGAAAAGAACAATTTAAAAATCCTCATCGAATGTTGAAAACTAAAGAATAGTTGAATGAACTGATTTGTGTGCTACTGATGTCAACGGATATAAGTGATATGCAACATCAATCGAAAGTGAAATTTCTGGCGGCAGAAAGTTTAGAAGATCAAAGAAAAGATAACAAGAGCAGAGAGTGATTGGTGTGGAAACGAAAGAACATTCAAGTCTGAGACAATTGATTGACATTTTGCAAATGAAGAATTCACCGTATTGTTCTCAGATTTTACTAAGAGATTCCGTAATTTTGCGTCCAAATACATTTCGTTGTTACCGCTTATGTTTACGTTTACGACATAAACGACTGATTTTAATAACTTCATCAGCAGGCCATTGTTATTGTGATAAATAAGACATGACAATGTTACATTTTAAAAATAGTGAACTTTCGCATCTGCTACGACATAAATACTTCAAAACAATGTTATTTGTAAATTAAAGAGATTACTTATTAAAGGTCAGAACGATTCATAGAGCGAGAACCGCCTGGGCACAACGTCGCTTAACTGCGGCGATCGGACGAGAACCGGTGTTTTCAACGTGTTATGGACGCCGGCAACGATTAATTGTAGTGCCAAGTTATTGACAATATAATAGTAATACAATTAATAGTGTGAATAAATTGCTCGCTCAAATATTCTTTGTTCTTGAAGTGATTGGGGTTTTAAAGCTGAGCTAACATTTAAATGAGATCTTACTATAAGTTGTAATTCATTGTAGCGGCTTAGCTTCGTCAGTCAATCACTTTTATGGCCGTTATTATATAAATCCCACAGTGCTTGAAATCAGAAGTCGATATGAAGTGGCGACTATAGTTCATTTGCGGATATCACAGATAACAAAGTTACAAGCACATCGAGCGAATTTGAAGCAGAGAGGCGAATGTGTGTATACAAGCCAATACATAGGTGAATTTATAATCAAATCGAATAAAAAAGTGGAGCTAAGCAAGGCAAACACTAATGATAGGATTCGATTACATATATACATGGGAAAGAGAATGATTCATCGAGCGACATTTAAGCCATCAACATTTAAGCTAGAGAGAGATATGGACATAGGCTGTCATGTGATCAAGAGTACACATTTATGCAGACAGACAAGATAGTGATCATAATAGTACACAGAAATAGACGAATTGTTACCGTTCAAATAACATTGTCAGTTAAGTAAGTTAACGGAAGGGCTTAACCAAAATAAAACAGTGATGGAAATTGATTGCAGGAGTGTCTCTATACATATATTTTAATGTGTATATGCACTTTAAATCTATAGATGTGGAAACATCGACAGTGTATTGTGTGATTGACTTTTGAATTGTCGTCGGTACTCATCCGGTACTCCGCCTGTAGCTCCTCCAGGGGCTACTGCCGGTCCCAAGCCCGGGTAAAGGAGGAGGGTTGGGCATGGGGTTAGCGACCCCATCCCGTAGAAAATCAACTAGCTAAAACAACGCTAACCAGAAAAAATCATTCAAACCTTTCAAACTCTGCCCTGGGAGTAGAAGGAATAATTATGACGTCTCATGATGAAAGCCGAGTTCATTCGGAAGTCATGAGGCCGATGCACCTTCTTACAACCAGAGCGATAATTTTTATAGGTACATGGAATGTCCGGACAATGTGGGAGACCGGAAGAGTCTTCCAAATTTCTGCGGAAATGAGGAAATACAACCTGGAAGTGCTTGGAATCAGTGAAACACATTGGACGCAGGTTGGACAACAACGACTGTCTTCAGGGGAACTTCTGTTATACTCCGGTCATGAAGAAGAAAATGCCCCACATACACAAGGAGTGGCACTGATGCTGTCTAGAAAAGCACAAAATGCACTTATAGGATGGGAATCTCATGGACCGAGGATCATCAAAGCCTCCTTCAGAACAAAGAGAGAGGGCATTACAATGAACATCATCCAATGCTATGCGCCGACCAACGACTACGATGAAGACGCTAAAGACCAATTCTACGATAGGCTGCAGTCAATCTTCGAGAAGTGCCCAACCAAGGACCTGACCATTCTAATGGGAGATTTCAATGCCAAGGTTGGAAAGGACAACACTGGATACGAAGACGTCATGGGACAATATGGACTGGGAGAAAGGAACGAAAACGGTGAGAGATTTGCAAACCTATGTGCCTTCAATAAACTGGTCATAGGTGGCACCATATTCTCACACAAAAACATACACAAAGCCACTTGGATTTCACCGGATCACACTACACAAAATCAAATCGACCATGTCTGCATCAACAAAAAGTTCAGTAGGACGATGGAGGATGTGAGAACCAGAAGAGGAGCTGATATAGCATCCGATCACCATTTGCTGGTCGCCAAGATGAAACTAAAACTCAAGAAGCACTGGACAATGGCGCGGACAACATCACAAAAGTTTAACACGGCCTTTCTTCGAGATGCTGACAAACTCAACGAATTTAACATAGCCCTCAGCAACAGGTTCGAGGCCTTTCATGACCTACTCAATGGAGAGGGAACCACCATAGAGAGCAGCTGGAAAGGTATCAAGGAGGCAATCGTTTCAACATGTCAGGAGGTTCTGGGCCAAAAGAAGCACCATCACAAGGAATGGATCACTGTTGGTACACTGGATAAGATCGAAGCAAGGAGGAACAAGAAGGTAGCAATCAATATCAGCCGAACCAGATCGGAAAAAGCCAAGGCACAAGCCGAATACACAGAGGCAAACAAGCAAGTGAAGAGGAGCATCAGGACCGACAAACGTAAATATGTGGAAGATTTAGCGATGACAGCGGAAAAGGCTGCAAGAGAGGGAAACATGAGACAACTGTATGATACAACAAAGAAACTTGCTGGAAATTACCGTCAACCAGAAAGACCAGTGAAAAACAAGGAAGGCAAAGTAATCAACGATATTGAAGAACAACGAAACAGGTGGGTAGGACACTTCAAGGAACTCTTGAATCGACCAGCTCCACTGAACCCACCCAACATCGAAGCAGCACCCACAGACCTCCCAATCGATGTTGGCCCACCAACAATTGAAGAGATCAGCATGGCCATTAGACAAATCAAGAGCGGCAAAGCAGCAGGACCAGACAACATCCCGGCAGAGGCACTGAAAGCAAATGTAGCAGCAACTGCCAAGATACTCCACATCCTCTTCAGTAAGATTTGGGACGAAGAACAAGTACCAACAGACTGGAAAAAAGGACTTCTGATCAAGATACCAAAGAAAGGTGATCTGAGCAAATGCGACAACTACAGGGGCATCACTCTTCTCTCAATACCAGGAAAAGTCTTCAACCGAGTATTGTTAAACAGGATGAAGGATTCCGTGGACGCCCAACTTCGAGATCAACAAGCTGGATTTCGTAAGGATAGATCGTGCACAGATCAAATCGCAACTCTGCGGATCATTGTGGAACAATCAATCGAATGGAATTCATCACTCTACATCAACTTCATCGACTACGAGAAGGCATTTGATAGCGTGGACAGGACGACACTATGGAGGCTTCTTCGACACTACGGCGTGCCTGAGAAGATAGTCAATATCATACGGAACTCCTATGATGGACTAAACTGCCAAATCGTCCACGGAGGACAACTCACCGACTTGTTTGAAGTAAAGACCGGTGTTAGGCAAGGTTGCCTACTCTCACCCTTTCTCTTTCTCCTGGTGATCGACTGGATTATGAAGACGTCAACATCTGGAGGAATGCACGGGATACAGTGGACAGGCAGGATGCAGCTTGACGATTTAGACTTCGCGGATGATCTGGCTCTTCTATCACAAACGCAACAACAAATGCAGGAGAAAACGACCAGTGTAGCAGCAGCCTCAGCAGCAGTAGGTCTCAATATAAACAAAGGGAAAAGCAAGACTCTCCGATACAACACAATATGCACCAATCAAATTACACTTGATGGAGAAGCTTTGGAGGATGTGGAAACCTTTACATATCTGGGCAGCATCATTGATGAACACGGTGGATCAGATGCAGATGTGAGGGCGCGGATCGGCAAAGCAAGAGCAGCATATTTACAACTGAAGAACATCTGGAGCTCAAAACAATTGTCAACCAACACCAAGGTTAGAATTTTCAATACAAATGTCAAGACAGTTCTTCTGTATGGGGCAGAGACGTGGAGAACTACGAAAGCCATTATCCAGAAGATACAAGTGTTTATTAACAGCTGTCTACGCAAGATACTTCGGATCCGATGGCCAGACACTATCAGCAACAAGTTACTGTGGGAGACAACAAACCAGATTCCAGCGGAGGAAGAAATCAGGAAGAAGCGCTGGAAGTGGATTGGGCACACTTTGAGGAAATCACCCAATTGTGTCACAAGACAAGCCCTCACATGGAATCCTGAAGGTCGAAGGAGAAGAGGAAGACCAAAGAACACATTAGGCCGAGAAATAGAGACAGACATGAGAAGAATGAACAAGAACTGGAAAGAACTAGAAAAGAAGGCCCAGGACAGAGTGGGTTGGAGAAAGCTGGTCGGCGGCCTATGCTCCATTGGGAGTAACAGGCGAAAGTAAGTAAGTAAGTAAGTAACTCATCCGACCTACGAGATTGATAGTGACGGTGAGTGTGCATGATATTGGGTAGAGTTGTTTGTTGGTTTTCTTAGTATTTTGTGTGTTAGTATGTGGTTGATTGTGGAAAAGTGAAGAGGGCACCCGGGTTTGAACTGGGGACCTCTCGATCTGCAGTCGAATGCTCTACCACTGAGCTATACTCTCGATCTGGCCACTATCACAAGTTCACATCTCCAACACCACACCATACCACAACACCTTCAACTACAAACAATACAACCAACGCAAAATAACCACCATCACTACAATCCAAACAAACATTCACACACAAACACTCATATGCATGCTTCGCATGGACACGGACATGCAAACAATCTACCATAAACAAACCAAACACCTATTCTACAACATCATTATCGTCATCGACAACAAAAACAATCATACACTCTGTATATAAGCGGCGTGCTCTTATCAAACTCGACTGATATTAATGTATTAATTCATTATTCTTGATTAACTCACACCGTTCTATCTTATTTTTATCAATTTTATTTTCAGATACATTGAATATGTAACTTTATAAAAACATTATTCTATTTAAAGCCCATTTTTTTAAAAAGCAATCCCAAAACAATCACAACAACTCACTGTCCTTTGAAAAATGCTACATAGAATATGGACGAATAGAAATTCACAAATTGAAATAGGAAAACTTTAAAAATCAGCTGATTATCGAATTCACTTTGAGTTCGATGCATCTCTAGAAAACAAGAAATATAAACGGATAAAACTCTATTTTTATTTTACTACTTAAAGTTTAATGCTTCTAAAATAAATTGTGAATTCTAACATGATATAGTTTTGATGTATCATTGATAAATTTCACTGTAGTGTGATATACTACTTTTTTCTTGAAAAGGTACCATAAAACATGTAATTAGCTAGCTTTCAATATATATATATATATATATATATATATATATATATATATATATATATATATATATATATATATATATATATATATAGATATACGATTGTTTAGAAATGTAGTTTAATTTACTAAAGGGCATGTATTTATATCTGTAAATGAGTTGTATATTTATTATTGGTTCACTTAGTTAGTAGAGACCTCATATTGTCTTTTGGTTTCGTCACTGAAGTATCTGCTTCGGGCGAGCATATAAGAAGCATCTATATCTGAATCCAGCTTAGATGACCTGACCAAGTAACATTAAATTACTCGTCATCCAGCCTCTTTGGATGATAAGTATAGATTTAGGAGAAACGTAATTTCACACAATGAAGGATCACAATAGTAAAAAAAATAGTGTTAGTAAATTACTCTTTACTGTTCACTGATGCCTTCATCGGGTTCAAATAGAAATGTTTTTTCGTTTCATATCCTTATAATCTTAATATGATAATATTTTTTCCATATTAAATTTCAAACTAGCCAGTCTTAAAACTTAAATATGAACCTATGAATGTGTACATCACAACTTTTCAATGAGTATACATGTAGATCAGAAACGAATTTAAGTCGTAAAAATCATGTCAAGTTGATGATTACCTTAATTCGATTAGTTATTTACGTTTAGTACTTTTCTATAGCCTATAGCTGAATAGTAAGTGCAGGTAATAAATTAAAATACTATGGTCAAGATTTGTAAAAATCTGTTATCATTTTGACTCAGAATGCAAACGACCATGACGTATGATCAAACTTATTTGCTCTTTAGATACTCAATAGCCAAATAAGAGATTAACTTGAAATCAATTTATTACAAGTATATCAAGTCAACAAGCCAAACGTGCAGCGAGTCAGACCTGTCAAGACAGAAGAATGTAAAGAGCGTTTTAAAACAACTATGACTGCACACTTGAATCACAGGTTATTTACTAAATACAAAATAGATGAAAATAGATATTGAACATGAACATATTTACATACATATGAGATACATATATGTGATTAATTGCATAAACTATAATACAGTAATTATTCAACATATAGTGACATATTTATTTGACGTAGCCTTTATCTGTTCATAGCAAGAAAGTTGGTTGATACAGAATATATATTCAGTCGTTCCTACAACGTGAGACGTAACCTGTAAGCTCAAGCTATCGAATATAACATAGCTCAAAGTTAGAAAAGAGATAATAATTTTTCAAATTATTAACATTTTATGTATAGCATAAAATATTTACCTAAAAAGCAACGTAACAATTAATGTTAGACTATTACTATCCATACATCTCTAATTTTCCCTCTTTTGTTTCACTCTAGAACCTTTGAATTTTTTAAGTCATAGTAATTCGGCTGTAGTAATTAGTTAAATCAGATTTTTATAGCTATACCACTACTATTGAATAATCCGTTCGCGAACCAGTTAGGATCGTGTGAACAACAAGTTATCAATCACATGCTTGGTGCTATTACAAATAATTATATATGTCAAGTTATTACTTCTTGACCCCTAGAGGACAATCTATAAAATAATGGCTTTATTTAAAAACGAAACACATGTTTTGAGAATGTATAAATGGCGTAAAATTAAGCTTATTTGTTCTGGGAGAATTAAATTTATCAGGCTATAACAATCAATTTCACTGTCTTCTTTTCGACTTAGTTTACAATTATTAATTAAAATTCTGTAATTTGGTTTCAAACGAAGATCAATAAACGTACTAATTTAAGATAACATTTTAATAATCGTGGTAGAGTCCTAGTAACAAAAGCACTTGAAAATGAAATTTTATTATTATCAAGATGCATTACATTCAGTTAAGTTATATTTCGAACGTTTTAAAAGATTTTCATCATTCATTTTTTTAGAAAATAAAAAATAAATCGCTTGATTACCTCTCGGTAATAATCATTATTTTTTCAAAAGTTAAATTCATGGGTCGATGTAAGCTACACCACTATCGAAAACCTGAAGGCACGCGAGATCGAAGGTTGTGGGATTGAATCCCACACGCAGAATCGTGGACGCGTACTGCTGAGGAGTTCCATACCAGGACGAAACGACCATCGGGTGTTTCCAGGTTTTCAATAGTGGTCTAGCTTACATCGACTCATGAATTCAACTATTTACTTACTACAGTCTCCACAGACTCCATTCTGATAATAGTATTTTTTTCGTTAATATTTTGAATTTTATGTAAGCGAAAGAGAATTTACTGAATTGATAGATTTACATACAGCATTCATAAACACCTACTAAGATGATTAGGTAAAAGCTTTCGTTTCACTTATCTCAACTATAAACACATAGGAAACATTGATTATAGTTTTATTGACCTTAATACATATACATACAAAGTTTATTTGATCATGCAGATATGTGTTTTTATAGAACACCTTGATCTAAAATCATTTTGTCTTAATTTTAGAAGTCTTAGTATAAATAATACTATAATTTATTAATAGCAATAACGAAAATACATAAAACAATTTAAACGTGACATATGTCAAGGATCAATGTGTATCTTACCCCATTGAGTCATTTTGTAGGCTAATGTTTCATACACTTTCCCTAAACACATAATCAGAATAAGATTAACAATAGCTGCTGAAAGTGTTGCATATATTTCTGCATTGGAACGAAGTAGTTTATTTTGAAATAATGGAATTTTTATTAAAAACCGATAAATAATTACAGCTATTATGAATACCAATACCAACATAACCTGTGAATGACAAATGAAAGGAAAGAGAAACATTCAATCTTTAAAAGAAAGGGTTAAATTTTAACATTTGAAATAATAATTATAATAAAAGGTAAGTTACTTTAAAATGGTTTGAATTATCAGTTTGAACTGCTTTAGTTTTACTATCTGTCGTCACAATAATAATCGGAATTACCAGGATACTCACATTTTAGAGTAAACTCATATGTGCAAAATCCACAGTAACTGAGTGTTTTGTAAAATATATTTTATCGTGTAGATTCCCTGGTTTATGCTGCTGGATATTAACCGTTTCTGTGTGCATTTTGAAATATTTATATATATATTTCTTCCTGGCAAGCATTTTAAAAATTTATCCTGCAGCTATATAGGAATTACCGATTGTACAAAAATACCGGGAAAAAACAACTGATGACGATGAATAATTGTATTGTTTATCCGTTTCCGAAGGCTTTGTGCTCATCTACATAAAAGCAAACACATGTGTTTATTTGTGTTCTCTTCTCATTGAAAATAAATATGTTGTAATTTTTCTGTTATTTGATCTGCATATCAACTTGAAATCAAACACTCTAGGACTAGTTGGTAAATAATTTAGATTTTGCAATAAATACTCTCATGTTAAAAATAAAGGATACGTGACTAAAAAATTGATTGTTTAGCTTGGTTTGTTTCTAAATTTTGTATTTTTATATTCTGTTTCATATTGAAACTCATTTCTAGATGGTGGTGGTCGGTGGTTTTTCTGAAAGTGAAACAAATGATTTGAATAATTTATGTTACTGAGGGAATATAAGTACATTTGATTTACCTACTTTTATATTTTTGTTTAACTTTACAGCTGTAATTAGACAGTTTCCAGAGACTCATACATAATTTCAACTTTCACATAGTAGTCATCTGTTATGAAACAGATCAGTAAAACTTGGTGATATTGTGTGTAATTGTGCAGTGATGGATATCTGAGTCACATTACATTCACTTGTATAGAGTTATATTCAAATAAATCCAGAGGGACTGACAGTAACATCATCCAAATGCCTTAGTGAACTATTAAGCTGATGAGTGACAGATATTCTAAAACTATGGTATTTCTATATTTTCCCAAAGATTCTATTCTCTGGACTTGGAAAACAGATTGGTTGAATAAAATGGTTAAAAGTGTAATTTAAGTGTTCGTCAGAATACGTTTTTGCTCATACATCCTAACACATTCTGTACACACTATTTTAAATAAACTTATCAACCTTACCGCCGGTACACCACACCTAGTTAGATTTATTTACAAATGACATATGCAATCGAAGTTCTACATTGTTGATTGGAATAGTTTAAAAGGTACTTAGTTACATTGTTTTAATTGTAGGCCCTTGTTATTGTTTTTCGTATGTTTAAATCGCGAAACGTTCAAAAGGTTTGACTAGTAGGCTTTCTTTAGATCTCATCTTGTGATGGTGGTACTTCGCATTTTTTAAATTATTGGATTATAATTACCACTGCCTTTGAAAATTTGTTTATGCATTTATAGACTACTTATAAACATTTCAGTAGTCTAGAATACAAAACGAAAATTGAGACTAAGATAAGCTCGTACGAAACTATGTATTACGTGAGAACGTCATTTGAGTTTCCATAAACTCACATTCAATGTATAAAGTTCGGGAATACGGGCTGATGTTTTCGTGTTCACTGATTTTGTTTCATCTAGCACATTTGATTGTTCTTCTGTTTCTTTAGTCAGTGAGTGATACATAATGAGGTGTGATTTCGCGAAGTATTTTATTTCACAGCTCCAACTTTCTCCATATTTGTGTTTTTTATTCTAAATGTAGATCTCTCCCATACTGGAATTACCCATAACACGCAAATGTAGATGGCACAACCAAGATATATGTGTACTTTGAAGAATTACTTTTGCAGAAACGTTAATCATTCTTATTACAAAGATCGACTCATGAACACTACTGTTAAAATTACAACAATCATTACAAATCCCCATTTTGATAACAATAATGTGCTCGCTAGTGATTGACATCAAGATAGATTTCTTGGAGTTCTAGTGAGTAGCTGTGACTAGTAGAGTCTAATCCGTATCGGATGTGAGACAGTTATCCACCTCAGACAATGGATGAAGGATTGCACAAGATCATGGATCGATTGAAGTTAGACATTACCACAGTTGGATGCCAGCTCAATGGTTTATGGGTTAAGGGTTCGCGCGCAAAACCGAAGACCTATGTTCGAGTCATGCATGTGGGGTCATGGATGAGAACTGCTGAGGAGTTCCGTACTATGACGAGACGAACATCCAGTGTTTTATGGTTTTCAATAGTGGTCTAGCTTACATCGACTCACGAATTCAACTGTTAAATTCACCACTTTAGTTTTTGAACGCAGACACGAACAGTAGTCATAAAATCTTTAATGAATATATTGTAGTAGAAACAAGCTGTATCACCTTTAGGCTAATCCCTGTGTGTGAAAATATACTTGTTTAATCTCTGTTTACATTTGATTAAAGAATTCATGGAAACATTTATTAGTCAAACTCTTTAGGTGACCCATCTTTTTTGCAAAACTTCAGAAGCCTGAAAGCTATTTTTCCAAGTCTAGTTCATCAGTAAACAATCGGATTTTGAGTCACAGATCTGAAAGCAGTAGAAAAAGGAAATTATTGATGCATTTATCGATTTAAGGGAGCAATCATCATCACGACCGTAGATTATATTTGTGATCTTGAAAGTAGCTATTTTTTCTAATGAATCTTAAAGTGATGCGATTCTGTCTAATTGCACAAAACTAAGAATAGGGGAATATGTTTGGAGTTGTGTCTCATTGGTTTGCAATCAATCACATAAATCAGTCATGGGAGTGGTGATGCATGCTGAGTTATATTAATTGCTTCAGTAACTAACATAATTATACTATTTTCTTCAGTGGATCACTTTAGATGACAGTAACTTAAAATTGAAAACTTCATAGACAGAATTCAAACAGTAGACGAAAACGACAGTGGTTACTTTTCGGTGATCAACTAATGTAAATATTAATTATAGAAGGGGTTTTGTGGAGATTTAGTATTTACTATAGTTGAAAGCGTTAGTCAATTGAAGCTAGACCACCATGGAAAACCTGGAAACACTGGACGTCCGTTTCGTCCTATTATGGGACTCCTCAGCAGTGCGCATATACGAACCCACTCTCGCGAGTGGGAAGCAGTGACCAGTGGAGTTCAAAACCACGTCTGTTGTGAGATAGGAACTCACTGAAGACAATTGGTGAATTGTTGCTCAACTTCGTGGATCAGTTGAAGTTAGACATTAACACCGTTGGATGCCAGCTCAGTGGTCTAACGGTTAAGGGCTTCGGCTCGAGACTGGTAGGTCCTGGGTTCGAATCTCGCTCGCGAGAGTGGATTCGTGGATGCGCACTGCTGAGTCCCATAATAGGACGAAACGGCCGTCCAGTGTTTTCAGGTTTTCGATGGTGGTCTAGCTTCAATTGACTCACTATAATGTAAATATCACAGACTATGGCATGGGAGTGATATTGTTTCGAACTCTAGAGAGAACATCAGATTCTTCTTGATCGCAGATGCATCTTGATGACCGATGACAACTAGCATGAAACGTAGGTTAGTGATTTCCTAGTGATCACCTTCTGCCAATCATACATTTTTACCTAATTAATTGTTATAGTTCTGTAGGACATTTAATAAGATGTTGTGAATGAACAAAACTTTGTATTATGGTAGAAAGAATAGAGCAAACACCACTGAGGAAGAACTGTTATGCACCAACAATAGATTAAAAGCATATCTGAATGCACTTCATATAATTTTTCTTGAATAATAGTCGTATTTTGGACAAATTGAACTGAAATTGAGCTTAGTACATAATAATCAATAACTTACAATATGAACATTATTTGCAAATATGTTAAGGTCCGAAATTTGAGATTCACATGTGCAATCGACTAATTGAGTTATTTGTTTGTTCGTTGCCAACTCAACCTTTTTATATTTTGAGTATATGTAAATAAGTTTGTTGGAGATCAGCATGTATAGCTGTTCTCCTTCCTTATAATAACATCACATTATTGCCTATTGTTATGTTGATAGAAACGATCTAAAGACAGATTCATACTAAATTACTGCTATATGTTCAAATGTAATAGTTTATTTTTTATGGAAAAAAAATCGAAACAGTTCAGCAGAACGTTACAAAGAATTAATTTTAAAATATAAAATGAATAATATCTTACCATCACCATGACACAAATCAATCCAGCAATAATACGAGCAACACGAGCACGAGGAGGAAAATACGGTTCAAGAACATCCGTAATAGGATTTTTTGCATATTGTGTACAGTGGGCAGAGTATTGTGGACGTGGCCTTTCTTCTTCTATTTCATAATCCAGCACATCCCATCGATGAGCTAATTTAGCATTTTTACGTTTCCAATACTCCAAAAATGTAACACCTACAAAAACAAAGTGAAACAATGACTGGGTCTGATGTGGTTGAAGATGTTATTACATTTTTCTGTACTGAGTAATATGAGTAACTTCATATAATCAAATATCTTGAAAATCGAACAGTTTAGTGTATAACATAAACCAGGATAGTCAATAATACTGACCTCATGTTTTTCAAATATTGTCATAATATTTCATTTTGCCCTTTAGTTCATTTTAATCAAAAGATCATAGCTTCCTGGATTAAAAGTTAATTACATGATATGATAGAAGTAGTTATATTTCATGATTGATATAAAACTCAGTAAATATAGAATATTAAATCAGGACTCAGTAGCTGAGTGGATAACGTGATGGCGTTTGAAACGAAAGGTACTTGGTTCGAGTCCCGGAGTTAACATTAACTCTGAGATGCAGGTACATCCATCTAACGAGTCCTAAATAGGACGAAACGCGCGTTCTGGATTCCACTGCTATCCATCTTTGCTTACAAATCAGTATTTTGCTCTAACAATTTTGTGAAAGAATTTGAAAACAATTCATCAGCATTCAGCTTTTAACTACACCATCATGGTAACTTAACAAACAAATTGGTTCCATTGATAAATGTGAACAAAAAAAGTAACAAAATTTAGAGGATAAAATTATTACATCTTATTTTAAGGCTTCTCATCATCTGCAAACAGGCTAAAGTTACAAATAGTAATGTGAATATAAATAAATCTTTGACATCCTTTACATAATGAAGTTGAGATTGATATTCAAAACAGGACAGGAAATGATAAAAATAGGGAGAAGATATAAAACATGATACGAAACATAGTTGGGAATGATAAGTATTTTTGTCTTGAAAACAAAATAATAATTAAGTAGATGAGGTCATGAACATTATTACTGATAATTAAGAACCAAAGTGAAAAAGGTAGGTGGTTATATAACCAAATGTTGTAGTTAAGTTAAAAGTATTATGAATTGACATCAGTTGAAAGTTAATCAAGATATTTTATAGCAAGCTGCTTTAGCAATAGTATGCTGAATATTCAAAACCATCAATGTTTCACCCAAATCATATTGTTTTTAATGATGTTATCAAATACTCATCTTAATATGACTTGTGGTATAACCTAACAATTTTGTATCTATTCTATCATTTGTGCTAAATCTGTTATTAGTGTTTTTTTTACACATAACTTGAGATCTATTTATGGTAGAATTAGTTGAATAACACAACCTAATTTTTCATACATACTTTGATAACCAAAATCCGAAAATTAAGTGGATTAGTAGATTAGAATTATTTATCTTTATATTAATCGGTATACAGTAGGTTTTACTTCTGAAAAATTCTGTAACAAGAATTGTGGATCTAATAAATCCTAAAAAGTGACAATATATTGGGGTCTCTGGATGGCCTATGTTAACTGTTATTTACAAATAGCTAAGGATTCTTCTAACACGAGTAAGAACTAATATGACCTCGATTAGACAGGATGTTTGTCATATAACCACACTTCAACTTTACTAATATATACACTAATGTGAGATGGACAAGACGTAGCATCTCAAAGATTTTCGTTTCCGTAGATGTAGATTGCTTAAGAAAATCAGCTTCCACCAAAACTTGATGTCAACAAATATTACTCCGAATGACCAATTAGGTTGACTACTCAGTTCACACAAAAGTAAACGGTTTTAATGATGATTGAAATTGTTTTTACTTGGGGGAAACTAGTAGAAAATGTCACAATATCCTAGCACTCCTTTAACCTCGTTCTGAATGTAACCTGTTGCAATTCTACCGATTTGTAGCTATTTTTCCATTCTGCTCCACTTTATAATTCAACTATTGGTGTGTTAGATTTTGTTGTGTAAGACTATGTACGTAGAGAAACCACCTTGTTAGTCATAAAAAAAATTATTCAATTCATTGCTTTCCTCAAATCTATCAACCGTTTGAATATATGTTTACTTAGTTCCTGATTACTAATGTGGTGTGGTCTACTTATATCCATATAAGTAGTATAAGGTGATGGTCAGACATAGAATGCATTTTGGCAGAAGACCGATAAGGAAAGAACTGAAATGAAGCGCAATCGGTAGGAAAATGCATGAACAATAAAATTAGAGAAGATGAACTCATATTCACAGAAGGAACAGTGAAGATTGAGACAATTGGTTGTTATTTTGCAAATTAACTGTTCATTGTATGGTTAGGAGAATTTAGTGAGATAGTCTGAAATTTGTGCTTAAATATATTCGATTGTCCCCACTCGTGTTCTTATTCATTACATTAGGAATACATAAATCTCATAAACCCACAGACGAATTTTTCATTCTGTATAAGAACGTTTTTTAAGATAGTGAATATGTGTAGCCCATGTGGTTGATTTTTGAGGGAGTTTTGTTCTCTAAGTTGGACGGTTTGGTCGTGGAGTTTTCATCAACCACACCATTCAGCTCAGCGAACAAAACTCTATCAAAAAGAATTCCTTTAAATCTAGTTATACTTACGAAAAAATCTTGAAGTTACTTAACTAATTATAAACATTAATTCTTATATATAATCAACCATATTATATATAAAGAAAAAAATCCCGAGTTACGTACCCCAAATTACCATAAAAATAGCGTAGAATACAGAACCCGGGTGGTCGAATAAGTAGGACATTTTCAAGTAGACACATAACTCTCGTAAATTCCAATATCGACACCCGTGGCTGATATCACAAGTTGGACACATAATTGTGTCTCGTTCACAAGCTTCTTTCCTGTCAATAATTAAATGATTAAGGGGATGTAGGCAGGTGTCTTTTTATTTGTTGGGTATATTAGTATTTGCTAAATGGTATTATTGCTACACTATGAATTGCAGTGTTCATTGAACATATGCTTAACTGTGATAAAGAAAGATGAACTGAAATTTGACAAAACATATGAATAAGAGCAGATTTCATAAAGCTATATTTGTTTACAGTTTACTAACGAGTCAGATACATTTGGAAACACTGAAGTAAATAATCACTCTGTTCTACAATGAAAATCAATTTCAATGGATAATGAATGTAATTAAAATAGGATATTAACTGTATGTTAATTATTGGCTTTAATTTTACATCTTATTCATATATTAACTTTCATTAACCTCATTTCCGAAGGGATCAACTCAAAATATGGGACGAACATTCTAAAATCTTTTATTATCAACCTTATTTAAAGACTATCATCCATTTACACAAATTCCAAACGACATTATTAAAACATTGATTTGTCCCCTAGGGATGATCGAGAATTAATTAGACTTGAATATTAAAATTTATCTTGATTCCAGTTTCATATATATGGATACAGATTTCAGTTTCTGTTCAAGTGAGATGGTATAGTTAAATTAGAGTTTCACTGGTTTATACTTAAATTATTACTCAATTTTTTGTTCAACCAGCTTTAACTCTAAAAAAGGAAACAGTTAGCCACATCAAATTGAAGCAAAACAAGAAAGCAAAATAATTAACATACGTTAACTGATATTTAATGTTCAAATAAGTAATATCACACTAGTTGATTACATCAGTCATATTTGAGTATCGTTTTTTGATAAGTAAATTTTGCCAAAAATGGATTATATTGTTTGACGAATCAAAGTTACACTGATGAAGTTCGTCAAACTGTTATTTTCCACAACATTTCCAAAACAGTTTAGGTTCCAAAATTTGTATTTAACCTACTCACTTTAATAGTCTAACGTCATTAAAGTCTTAATAAAATATATCTAACTTGCAATAATTCCAAACTGTTCAATGTTTAATTTACTGTTAGTTGAGAAATGATGAATAATGTTTCAACACTATAAAAACATAAAAATAAAAGTACTAATTTGCCTAAGAAAAATCATTTATCATCTGAACTTTCTATTATAGAAGACGTGTTCTAAATAATGTAAAAGAAGATAGGCTATTATTTATTTGGAAATATTTTAAAGACTTGTTAAACGAATACAGTCACCAGAAGAAGTATAAATGTAATCTCGAGATCTCTGATATACAGACTCATTGTTATTTTAGTCACTCATCATGAGTGCCGTAGCGAACAGAAAACTGATAGACAACTGAAGTAGGTGTTTACGTCCATCCTTCATTACTCATGTTACCCCTCGTGGAGGAGCATAGGCCACATACAAGCACTCTCCATCCAACTCTGTTATAAGCAATCCTTTCTAGTTATTTCCAGTTGTTATTCATCCTTTCCATATATGCTTCTATTTCCCGGTGTAATGTGTTCTTGACCTCCCACTTTTCCGTTTCCCTTCACGATTCCATGTTAGGGCTTGTCTAGTGATGCACAGTGGTGATTTCCTTAATCTATATCCAATCCACCTCCAACGTCTTTTCCTAATCTCCTCTTCAGCTGGAAACTGGTTTGTCCTCTCCCACAGTAGGCTGTTGATGATAGTATCTGGCCAGTGAATGTTGAGTATTTTGCGTAGAAAAATGTTTAGAAATACTTTTACCTTCTTATTGACGGTTGAAGTAGTTCTCCACGTTTCAGATCCCTTACAGTAGGACTGACTGTCTTCACGTTCGTATTGAATATTCTCACTTTGATATTGGTTGAGAGTTGTTTTGAGTTCCATATGTTCTTCAATTGTGGGTCCTTGCTTTGCCGATACTCACCTTTACATCTGCATCAGATCCTTCTTGTTTATCAATGATGTTTCAAATACACGTGAATGTTTCCACATCTCCCAGAGTTTCGCTATCGAGTATGATGTGGTTGGTTGATGTTCTCCATGTTGTATTTGAGAATCTTGCTTTTCCTTTGTGTATGTTGAGACCTATTGATGCAGAGGCTGCTGCTACATTAGTTGTCTTCATCTGCATTTGTTCGTGTGTATGAGACAGAAGGGTTAGGTCAAGGGTTAGGTCCAACTCGTCTAATTGATTGTGAGATGTCCATCGTATTCCGTACTTTCCCTCAGATGTTTAGTGACTTTTAAATATCACTGCATGACATGGTTTATGTGTTAAATTCAATTTTCTTGCTCAATTTAGTGTCATTTCTGTGAGCAAAGTTTAATATTTTTGTTAACCAGTTGTTTATTATACTGATATCAGTTTGTTTAATCGAATTTGAGGTTTGTACCAATGACTGTCATCATAAGCAACTTTGTTTTAATTCATATAATCGATCGTATATATAATCTATGACAGTGAAAGTATAAGATTTCAAATCACAATTCAATTACAATAATGTTTTTCATTATTTTGTTCAAAAATATAATTAATTATGTGTAGCAGAATCCTTAAAATGATACTATTAATATAATCACTATCTCTGAATCAACATAAACTTAATTTAGTTATTCTACCAAGCTTACTACAAGTTTATATATTTTTCTCGATTTGAGGATCACAATTTCTCTATAACATCGTTATATCGCAGCACACTTTGAAATTATCAGCCAGCAATTATTATTTAACATTACTTTCAAAATCTTACTAGTTTACTGATGCCAAATTCTTGATTTCTGCAATGTAAATAGTACATGAAGTCTTTCAATTATCTTAGACGTCACGCACATGAAGTATTATCTTTACACCATGATAACGATATTACGTATTTCATGAGAGTGTTAGATTTTAAGTGCATAGAAAGGTTTATCGGCATTCATATTAAAAAATATTGTCAGTGAAGAACCGATGCTGAATTAATTTGAAAGTGTAAATAGCTAAACATTTACAAGTGATTTATGTTATTTCTACAATATAAATTAATAGTATAAAAGTATTTCTGTGGATAAACAACCTAATAGATTATCGGAAACAGTACCTACGATGTAATAGATAACATTTACATCTAATCAATACTTACACAGGAACGTAATCATTTATAGTTACAAGTCCATATATGAAAACAAAGATTCCAACCAATGCAGCTGGTAGTAACCATGCAGTGTATAAACCTATGAATGAATTGATATAATGTAAATAATATCATAAAATAATTTAATGGTAAAGACGTTATTTGAATCTTTCTTAAAGGAACTATTCAAGAAAACGCAACTTAGAAAATGGAACAGATGTTAACAAAAATTTTAAGAAAGATGAGTTATGAGTCCATTATTAATTGTGATCTCTATGAACATTTTAGACTATCGGGTTCCGTTTTATCAATACTATGAGGATTCCAAAACGTTCATAAGAAGATCGTTCTCTATTCGTCCCATACTTGAAATGAATAACTCCTTAACATTTGATTGCTAAATGGTTAGTTGATATTTCAAAACTAGCCAGAAATCACATTAGTAGATACAACTATCATGATTCATTTACTTTGCTGACTCAATTAGAAACATTTGCAAAAATGGTAAAAAAATGATTTCGTTGGAGGTCACTCCTCTCTTTACAAATGTTTCACTCGCAGAAATGATATATTCTCTTGTGTGACTGTTGAAAACAACAATTTTGATATTCGTTTATCAAAACATTATCTAAAAGAACTACTTCTGTGATGTACAATTGTGCAAATGTACAAATGTGCAATTCAGATTAAATAATAATTTCTGTAGACAAACTGATGGAGTTGCAATAGTTTCACGGCTAGGTCCCTTCTTTACTCTTCGTTTCATGGCCAACCTAGAAAATCAGTACTTCAACCAATAATTGTGAAATTTCATTTATATACGAGGTATGTGGATGAAACCTTCATTATTTGTGAAGAGGATATGAAACAGTGGAATCTTGGATCGATTCAATAATTGTCATCTCTTAATTCAATGCACATTGATAAAAGCGGCGAACGAGGAATTTTATTTTCTTGATGTCTGAATGAAAAAAAGCTCAGGTGCTTCCTTACAGAGATCTATGTGTAAAAAACCGATCTGGAATGGTCGGTATACAAATTTAAAATCTCAAATCACTTTATGATGCAATCTTTTCTGTTTTTCTATAGACAAATTTTTACCATACACAAAAATACAAATGTATGTCTTTAGTAAATAATTTCATCGGAACTAAAAATTTTTTTCACTGAATTCTTTGTATTTTTTTATTCGAAAAAAGCATTTTTATTTAACAAAATTTATTCAACAATTTATTATAATCAGACGATATCTATATATACGACTGAGTATGTTTTCAACGTGTATTTCAGTTGTCAATCGAGAAATCTCATATTTAATCACAAATTTATTTCATTTTCAACTGATATTGAACTTTCATAAGTCACTTAGTATTGTTTGTTTGAATCTTCCCATTGATGCTTAGGACTGCAACTGGTCAGTCTCTAATTGGCATATGTGCATACTGTACGTATTGCCTCGATATTGCCTTAATTTACAAGCATTATAAGCACAGATGGATAGTGGCTAGCAGTGGAATCAAGGACGCTCGTTTCGTCGTACTTGGGAGTCGTCAAACTTCACCCCACTGCACAAGCAAGTGGCTATCAGGACTCAGTAGTTGAGTGGATAACGAGATGGTGTTTGAAGCGAAAGGTTCTGGGTTCGAGTCCTAGAGTGAACATCAACTCTGAGATGCAGGTACATCCAGCTGACGAGTCCCAAATAGGAGGAAACGCGCGTCCTGGATTCCACTGCTAGCCAATATCCATCTTTGCTTCCATAAGGCAATAAAATAAGAAGTTAAAAGGTGTTTTGTCAATGATACATTTATTATTGCATATTTTTGTTCTTTTTAAATACAACAAGGTTCTATTTTATGCCATAAATACTGAGCTTTCAGCATGGAAGTAAAGCTTACTTCATATCTTTTTTTGATTCAATGATAAAATCCTTAACAGCAGTCAGAAATCTTGGTACAGCACCTAAATTACCATTACATCATATAATTGTTGACTAATTTCTGATATCTTCACAATGAAATGACGTCCAACATTCTTTTGTTAGTAGATTATAGAAAATATTTAAACATTTATTCTTTTTTAAAGAGTGAGTTTTGAAGTTTGTGACTTTGTTACAGGAATTTTCAAAATATTAAATAAATCGTACTTTACCTAAACGTGCCGAATCTAGTTGATGGAGTGGGATGACAGAGTGAATAAAGTCTTACTGGCTAAATCATAATCGAGAATATTTGTTATCATGGAATAAAAGACACAGCAATGGCTTGTATCTCTTTCCTTAGAAAATGAAGCTAGACCTTAATCGATGACGTAGGTTTATCTTTTCTCCTACGTTTGATTTGCCGAAAGTATCACATATATCTTTTTTTAGATCTCAAATTTAACTGGGTTCAGTATCAATAATAAAACAAATTAAAAATTATTACAATATAAACATTTGACTGATCATACTAACTCACAACTGCTTTATCAATGTTAACATCTAAATTTTAAGATGATGTTTACTTTCTAAAACCTGAAATCAGTATTATAGGGTCGTGTTGTTATCGCTGACGAGTTATCAACTCCAAGAACAATCAAACTTTGATCACGTTTTCAAATATTTTAAACTTTTACTTGCACCTTTAATTTATGGAGAACTTCTGGTTAATTCGCATGTCCTAAGTATACGAATTTTCGGGACACTAGTAAGTTATCGATAATCATTATGCCAAGTTTTTAGCGTTTATTTCGTTTATAGATCATGTATTTCAATTTATAAAGCGAATATGACTCAAAAGTGCTGTGGCTTTTGTTTGGTAATCACTGATTACAAGCTAAAATTTCTTGCTTGTTGACACTTGTTATTGTTAGATATTCAAATATTTCAAAAGCCGTATGTATCGATAACTCATAAGACATTGATTTTCTCCCCAATTCTTACTGATTGATAAGAAACGCAATTCTATACAGCGATAACTGAAGACGTACTTCATGTTTTTCTACTCTTTAGTGGGACCACTTTCACTCTAGACATAGACAAACTTTATTATTCAGTTAACATTTCAAGAAAGGCTATGAACTGCAGTGTAACTGTTATTCAAATTCGACTAAATATTTTATTCTTCGTCACTAACTTGTTTTAAGTTAACGGTTATTTTATCTGTTGAAGTTAATAAATATTTACACAATAATTCTTAAATCACTATTTTATCTTTCTTCTCTTTCACTAACGTCATCTCAGTTTAGAGTTTTTCCTCTCTTTTCATTTTTGCTTAGATAGTTATGGATTTTTCAATTATGATGTATGCTAAAAATAAACTGTCTGATGGGAGAAGTTGACATGCAATGAATAAGATATATTTAATTCAAAAAAAAAACTTACCAAGCCAAGCGAAATAAAAACCTATTTTTTCTCCAAAGTAACTTCTGATATGATCCAAAGGTTGATATCTGTACCAACAACCCCATCTTGCCCAATACCAATATAAAATTTGACGTGGATTCATTTTTTCTGGATTTTTTAAATCTTCTTCATCTACTTCATATGGACCCTACAATTAATAGAAAAATATATTAATCTTTGCAAGAAATGATGATCATATTCAAATCAACAACTTTATTTAAATAATAGGAAGTTATGTTTACCAGTAATCTATTCACAAAATGAATTTCATTAAAATCAAGTCCATCGGTTAAATGCTCTGGCGCGAGACTTGTAGATCCTGGGTTCGAATCTCGCGAGGTGGGATCGTGGATGCGCACTGCTGAGGAGTCCCATAATAGGATGAAACGGCCGTCGAGCAGTGCTTCCAGGTTTTCCATGGTGGTCTAGCTTCAATTGACTCATGATTTCAACTATCAAGTGATATTGTTTAAAAGTTATAACTCAATTGTGAGCATCCGATTCATTCAACTAGTTAGTTTCGTGATGAATTTTATTAATTATTTTCCCCATTTTTTGTTGTTTTTTTTATCTCCTGTAATACCGAACCAGAAAAGTTTCTAAAAATCGAAATTTTTTTTTCATCATCTATACAGGATGTTAAATATCAGTGTATCAAATGTTATTCGGTCGAAATTTTTTAATAACGACAAATATATCTAAAATTACATAAATGTTCAACTTCGCTATATGCAGGATTAAATTATGAAAACTTTTAATTAAGTTAAAAAAAAGTACTTCCCGTAATATTTTGTTTAGTAATAGTACTATGGATAAAATAGGGATTCAAATAAGGTATAATATGGTAACTTTATTCAACTAAATAAACATGTATCACAATCATATACACTTTTATAGAACAAATAATTGAACATGTGACAACACAAAAAATATGCATGATAAACATGTGACTCAATGTTACATGAGTTCTTTTGAGAATATATATATGCTTGTTTACATTTGAACTGATTACCTCATGAATCGCGTACGCAGCATTGTAAACCTCTTCCTGTATAAGACGATCGATTCCAACTTGTGCTTTTTCACGGCTCCCATAAGCTTGAGTAGCTAAAATATCATATGCTACCTGATGTCTTTGAGTAGGAGTGAAATATGATTCTTTATTATCATGTCCAATGAATCTGAAACAGTATTGCAACATATATATGAGCGACAGACCTTATTTTAAATGGATTTTATCAACCTGTTATAAAAGAGTTGCTGTAATGAGTCATAACAACCATGTGATTTTTAAGACCATTTCCATTTATCGTATACTAAACTTGTCACCTAGACCCTAGTTCTTAAAATCTCATAGTATCACTATATCTTACGAGGAAAGTGTAAATCAAGTCTGACTACGTAAATCTGTATTTTAGTGAATGAGTTTAGTAAAAAAAATAGCGATATCAAAACGCTAGTGAAAACATGAGAGAATCTACAAAAGAAATTGGCATCAATTATATTGCTCTATGACCTTTCCACATAAATTTTCCAAAGCTTATAGGTTGCAATCGTTTTGATTAATAAACGTATATTCACTTTAGCGTCGAAAAAAATGAGCAAACTTAATATTTATTTTCAAAGTCTTTCGATATTTTTTATCACCAACCGAAACGGCGGTTATGCACAATTTATGGATAAGCTAAAATATATAACATTCAGAAATCTAGAGAAATCATTTAATTAAAATATTGAACCTGTTAATGAAGGATATCATATCAAAATAGAGAAAGCTTTCTCTGCTTTATGCCAAGTTCCAAAGAATCTATCTCAAGGAGCTAGATTATGGCTAATCTGCATAGCTGAAGCCGTTTGGATCAACTCCAGAAAACCGAACTTATATATCTAGAAAATATATATCAAGCCTCTATGTTTATTTTGACCTACGACTGGATTACCGGATGCCTAAACTAAATATTGAAAACCTCTTATCCCTTCCCATTTTTTTATTACATCTACCTTAATCTTCACATCCATCTTTACCGATTCACATGAACTCTTTTTTATCATAATCACCTTGATAACACCCCACTTATTATATTTACACAGAGATGTTATTATTATTACTGTTACTGTTATCATTATAACCTGAATTAACAATATGAAATTTTCCTACTGTGCATTTTATTCACACGATGTTTTTCATTTTTGCTATGTTACTATTATACTGTTTGTGACTGGACATTTTACTTCAAGTCATTCTGACGTTTATTAAGTGATCTTTTTAATTTGTGAGTAGCACAATTTCGAAGTATATGTGTCGTAACAGATTGTCAAATTCATTAATACATACCTTATTTTGGCCTTTGTAAAATATCATAATTATAACTGTCGAGCCTGCTGATGAAGTTATAGAAAACAATTTTTCTCTCAAATATTCTTCATTTCTGGAATATTCTGGAAAATTCTGAAACTTTTACGATTAATTTCTAGATGAGTTCAGTCTCTAAAATTTTGTCTTGAGCGGTAATGAACAATATGTAATAACTGAGTCTGAAAATGTTTGTTTAAGATTCGAAGTATTTTTGGATCCTCAATTGGTTTAAAAGCGGTAAAAATCAACTTTTAGTAAGGAAACAGTAAAATCTATTTGATTGATTATATGATATGAATTAAAAAGTTATTTAGCTTCGTTAAATCGATTCTTTATATACTCATAAACGTATTGCTTGATTAGTATATTTACTAGAAGAAATTCTAAAGTTATAAATTTCGATGGTTGTTTGTGATCTCGTACATACTTCCCACATATCATTGATCTTTGTGTATTCATAACCAGAATAAGTCTTCAGTATCGGTCAGCTATGATAACTAAATATTTGTGTGATTAGGGAGATAACTACTTCATTTGTTAATTTATCAGCATTTTCCATTTAATTCAGCAAGATGGTATTGAGTATCATAGAAAACTAAATCCTTAAAATAAAGATTCAACTTCATTGAATGGTTCGTTTATCTCTTTACATTCGACTTTCCGTTTAGAAGTAACTATCATACTAGTTTTTACAATTTATAAAATGAACTGTAACACATGACGTATTTTCAAAGTCTCACCATTAGGCTTTGAAATACCATATTTACAAGTCTGTGAGGTGAAGTCTCACCACAAAATTTCGAACAGCTGATTATCTGCAGAATAGATAAATTTTGAGAAATCAAGATACACATAATCCTGAAGTGCCACTTAAATAAGGTGGGAAAACTAAATGATGTATTGAACACTTAGGATAACCGGCTATTTTTTCGTACACATCTGCTCAATTATTCTTTTTTTTGTCTGGTTTATTTTTACTGATATTCTTTAGCACGTGATTTTGAGCTTTCACATTAATCGAGTTGAATTGTTTATACTCTTAATTTTAATGTAACAGATATACTTCTTCGATCTATCACAGTGATCAAAGTCTCACAATTGTATCCCCAAATGGAATATTGAGAGTTATCATGAACACTACTGATCAGTATCTAATACTATACTGTCAAGGAATTCTCCCTTGTCCCTTTGTAGTTCTACCATTGTAACTTATATTTTTGTAAATATATATACCAGTATATATATATATATATATATATATGAGATATACCGGATAGCGTGTGTGAGAACATAACAACAAGAACTTGTTATGATATAAGTTTTGAATGAATGTATGTTTTGTTTAGCATGAAAGTGAGCCCATAAATTTATTTTCAAATTCACTACAGGAAAACATATCAGTTACGTTTTCTAGTTTATTTGGTTTAGTTTTCATCATTTGAATGATAATTCGATAAAAAAATAACTAATGGAATGTTAAGTCACAATTCTAGATACCTAGGCCAATTAATTACTAGGGAAGTTTTCTTTCATATGGAATTACCAGCATATAATTATGTTCAATATTTAACCGTGCCACGTTTATAAAAAAAATATAATTTTATCTCAAAATAATCATTCATGGACCTCAATACAGTAATCACAAATATCAAAAACACAATGTCAACGTCGTCAAAGTTATCTGACAAGATATTTTTAGCATCCAATTAGTTAACATCAAAATGCCTTATGCATTTAGTTCGATGTAATAAAAAACATATTTTTTCCCTGCATTATGTACTACTATATTGAGAATATTTACCAACCACAGTTTCATTGTCAGTATTTCACAAACTGTTAGACATGCCGTAGATAATCGACTTTCAACAAATCAATAAAAATAAATACATGAGGTAAATAATTATTATGAAAATATAATTACTAACTTTTCTAACTTGCTTTTCTTAAATGGACAAGTATAATATTCAGGTGGAGAATTCGGAACATTTTGCGACATTATAGATGGAATCCCAATTGTTTTCAAAAGAATCTCAGACCAGTTCTTCATTTTAGTGTTTTGTAACTTGAGATTTTTCGGTAGTTCAAATATAAATTTAAAAGGATATTAACAAGAAAACTTGACTTAATTAACTGAAAAAAACACACAACCTCATCTAAGTACTTTTTAAATCTAGCTGTCAATCATGAGAATCTTGCTTGTTTAGTTAGGTTGAGTATCTGAAATAACTCAGTGACAGATATATAGTATTTAGTTGTAAGAATTTCGTAAAAGCTACAATAAAGGTTTAGTTTCACTGGATTGATGTTAAATTAAACTAAAATCTATCAATAATTTTTACTTGCTAAGAAATATTAACCCGAGTTTTTCAAAACCATCAAAACTTAATTAATGATTGATGTTACTAAGAGATGAAGTGAGTCTCAGCATTTATAGAGCTAGAAAGATGGACACTTTTTTCTCAAAGACATTGAGCATTGCATATTCAGAAATGTCACTAATCTTTAATACTGGTATTGAAGTGAACAGTATATGTTACAATATTATTTTCCTTAAGTAGTAAAGCAGTTTTCTTATTATTTCATTTATTTTCATCAAATAATAAATTTTGTTTTCCGTCAGTCATCTTTTACTCATATGCATCAGAAATACCCTGTAATACCTAATGAAAACAACAGTTATCAATGACTGAGCGCTTATAATCGATCTTATGTATTTAATTACTCTGAAATATAAAAACTTTTCGACCATCAATGAGTAGATATGCGGTAACAAACGCAATTTTCAATAACACCTGGTTTATAAACACTTTTGTTTCTTAAATGAACATGAAAAGCCATAAAGTATGGGAAAATTCCCTACGATATTTCCTATTTTTGTGTTTATTTCCAACGAGTATAAGTGTTAACTAGAGGATATTTGGAAACTGAAATATTGTGAACTTCTGTTTGTCCTAGACTGAATAAAACTCAGATTTCGCATAAGATTTAGTTAAATATCTTTGGGTCACGCATCGACTACGTTTGATTACTGAGTCAGAATAGCAACAAAGCTAAACTTTTATCTAATATTATTGATGGTACCAATTCTTACTTGTAACTCCGAAAAAATTCGGCCTCTTCGGCACTTCGTTTGAAATTCCATTACTAGTTAATACTAGATAGACTGTTAATATTATGACTTAAATATTTTGTTGAGATGAGGAATAACTTTGATGAAATATTTATACATGCTTAGAGTAATTCCATTAACACTACTTTGGAATAAAATGTGGATGCTGATATAAATCAAAACATAAATTCTGAAACACTGGGTGTACATGGAGTAGGAACGAAGTTATTTTAAGTTGGCCAAAAAATGGTAAGTCTAATGAGGTTCAAACGAAACATAACATAAAACAACAAAAACAGAACGTCCTAATAAATGATAGTTTAAAGATACTACACTGGACAACACGCCTATTAATTAAACAATAAAACACAAACATTCCACATACTTCAAGAGGGGCTCGTAGGTTTAGACACTCAGCATGATGGCACATTAAGTCCCAAGAAATATGAAGCTTCAAGTAATGAGTCACCAAGCTTTCAGTCTTGACGTCTTCCTAAAAAGTAAGGGAGGTAACTGAATTTCTTGTAAGGAAAAAACAGATCAGGAAATAAATTACAAATTTTATATTGGAATGAATGTTTGCGGCTGGTTTTTATTGCGAGCTTCATTGGACATATACTGAATGTGCTACTCACTAAACTCGAAACTGCAACATTCCAGAAACTCTCTCATATTTCAAAACATTAACTGGATTGACGCTACTTATTACGCTAATGAGTAAACGAATTTTCATTATTGATAAATCAGCCACTTATACTGGAGGATGGGTCATTTTCTGATAAAGTTTCAAAACAAGTCGTAAGGTGTACTTATTTATATTAAAAAAGATAATGAATTCCTTTGCAAATATCTCAGCCATGATAGCTTTCCATCTAAAGGTTTCTAGACAACTTTTTTGGTTTACAGTTAAGTTATATTTTGACTTTATTCCCTGAGTTATCCTCACTGTTACTGTTTGAATGTCATATTACATTTATTGTTTTCTAAAGCTCAAACCAGTTTTCAAAGAGAATCGATGAAGGATGATGAGAATTTATTTCGGTTATTTACAACACCATTGAATAGATTTTCAAATATATATTTTTTTAAAACTATTCACAGTAACACCAAAATTATCTCTTCATGACAGGCTCATTTAAAGTCCAGTAATATTTACGCCATGATTCTGTAGGAATACTTGTTATTCAATTCCAGTCAAAAGGATAGTCTGAACTACCATAATCATCTTTAAATTGTGTGAAACTGCATTACTGTATAAATGATCTAAATTTTGCAGACAATATTTGGTATTACACTGTTAAGTCATGAAGGATAATGATTAAATTAACAAAATTTAGAATGATTTCCATGAAATGATATTATCCCTCGCCTTCATAATTGGAAACAGTGCTTATCTCACCTCATTATTGCTATAAAAACAACACTTGAATAATCAGAGTACGAGGAAATGTGTCACGCACAGCAAGATGTCACTTTTAAGAAAATGAAAGAGAGAAAAGTATGTACTAGTTATGCTAGTAAAAATGCAAAGAATGCACTTCTAAGAAGAATACAATCAAAGTAGATGGTATTACTAATGACAGTACAACTTTTCATGATTCTTCCTAAGAAGTCATAATAAACGAGCTATCTCCTATAAACCTATCGTTTCCTCGCTTTTTCTTATTCCATTATCAGCAAAAAGATTTCAACGGAAATACCTCGATGACATCTTTAAATCAAATGCAATTTATCAAATTTAGTGTTCAATGATTAATTCAGCAGTAAATATATGACTTTTACTACACATAAACCCATTTTGTTGAACTTCCTCTTTGTTTATATTGTAATAGCAGTGAGTGCAAGCAATGCTTCGGATACAGCTATCAAAATAAATTTGAGAGCCTTTATAATTCTTTAATTCTGAGAGTACGTCTTACGAACTTAGCCTTCAATTACTTTCATCGAAGCGTTATGTATCAGACCTGTTAAAGCCAAAAATGGCCTAATAATATAGTTTATAACTTCAGCTTATATAATGTGTTCACGTCAAAGGACCCAACATATATCACTTAGGATTTTTATTAAAATTGGTAAATGAATAGAATGTTAATATTTTTCAATCTCTACCTGACAACTAGAATTAATTCAAATCTAAAATTTTCTTTTCATTTAATAAACAAATTGATATAAACTATTGATCAGTAAATTTTATTTTGAAAAAAAATATACAAAGGAATAATAATATGGAGTTATTTTTCAAAGTTACGATATATATAATGACCATAAGACAATGGAAACATTGGGATTACGCAGTTCAAATAAAAACAAATCCAAAATCAAAACTCTTATTTATGATTAGAGTAAACGAAAATGAATTCAAATGTGACTTTTCGTACTATGACTAAAACGTTTAGTTATGTCATAATTATATTAATGGGATATCTTGAAGTCAATTTTGTACTTTAGATTAAAAGTAATTACTTACTTACGCATGTTACCCCTCGTGGAGGAGCATAGGCTGCTCACAAGCACTCTGCATCCAACCCTGTCCTGGGAAATCCTTTCCAAATTTTTAAAGTTAACATTTATCCTTTCCATAAATGCTTCTATTTCCCAGTGTAATGTGTTATTTGACCTTCCTCTTTTCCGCTTCCCTTCCGGATTCCAAGTTAGGGATTGACTCGTGATGCAGTTTGGTGATTTTCTTAATGTATGTCCTATCCACTTCCAACGTCTTTTTCTAATTTCCTCTTCAGCTGGAAACTGGTTTGTCCTCTCCCATAAAACGCTGTTGTTGATAGTACTGGGCGAGTGAATGTTGAGTATTTTGTGTAAACAACTGTTTAAAATACTTGTACCTTCTTGACGATAGTTGTAGTAGTTCTCCAAGTTTCAGCTCCGTATAGCAGAACTGACTGTCTTGATGTTCATAATGAATATTCTCACTTTGATATTGGTTGAGAGTTGTTTTGAGTTCCATATGTTCTTCAATTGTAGGAATGTTGTCCTTGCTTTGCCAATCCTCGCATTTACATCTGGTACATCTAGTTCTAACACCTCTAACTATCATGTCAAACAGTAATCTGATATGCAAGGCAAATATTCGACATAATAGTCAGGTCTTAATTTTGCCGGCAGTTTAGTTGTTTGCATTTTAAATATCTAATAGTCTTGTTCAGCTGTGTGTTGTTTTAACAGAATACTATTTGTTGTCTATCAAGGTATACAATACAGACCAGATTTTTGAGATCAGTCGTCCTCTGACCACATTTTTCATCAGCTCGATCTATCACGTACCGACTAAAGCATTATATTTCTTAATGCATCGGTCATAAAAACTGTCACTACACAAGCTCATCGTATTCTTTCATAAAAACATAGTAATCACATAATACAATAAGAATAAATCAGTATAAGATTTAAGATATTTCGCAACCATTTGTCAGATATTCAGCTATGCTAGTATTATTTAAGTTCCGTATTTTCTGAATATGGAGAAATTTTTCTAAATGAAGAATGATAATGCATCATTCATATTAGAATACAATTTTCTCGAAGAAATATGGTCATAGAAATATGATGAAGTAAATCATCATTATTTTAATTAATAGTATTGGTGAATTGTGTAGTCGAAAATATTTCAAAAATACTCGTCAGACTTCTATCATAACTAGAATAACTCGTCGCCAAGGATTTTACATTTGCATGGTAACTTGAATCTATTATAGATCTGTATTTGAATGATGCGAAATAAACATGTAACCAAACAAGATTCACCTAAGCTTTTTTTACTTTCATCCAAGTCTGATACATAGATTTGTACAGTTGAATTTATGGTTTAAGGTATTTGACTGTCGAACGCAATAACGAAACATTACCGAACGATTGAAAACGTAGGGGTGAACAGTATGATTTATCATATATTAGTTGTTTGAATCTTCCTATAGACGTTTAGAACTTCGATTGATCAATCTCTTATTGGCATACGTGTATCGTGTGCGGATTGTCTCGATATTACCTTAAATCATAAACATTATAGACAGACATAGATGATGACTAGCAGTGAAATCCAAGATGCAAGTTTAGTTCAATTTTTGGACTCGTCAGCTAGATGTATCAGAATTTCAGAGTCGATGTTCATTCCGGAACTCGAACTCAGTGTCCTTCACTCCAAACGCCATGGCATTATCTACTTAAACATTTTGAATTTTATCCGCTATTGTTGGCACAATCAGAAGTATAACCTTTAGATTATTCAGTCAATAGTGACCATCTGAATGACTGACTTAAATGATATGACTGTTCTCCAAGTGCCAACCAATACCGAGTGATTGAAATCTTAACTGCATCAGAGCCTTTATAAAAAATATTTTGGGGATCATTCAAAAAATAACCTTAAGTTCTTTTGTATTGTTTGTATTGTTCACCCCATTGCACAGGCTAGTGGCTATCAGAACTCAGTAGCTAAGTGGATAACATAATGGCGTTTGAAGCAAATGACACTGGGTTCTAGTCCCGGAGTGAACATCAACTCTTAGATTCATGCACATCCAGCCGAAGAGTTCAAAATTTAGACGAAATGTGCGTCCAGGATCCCACTGCTATCCATCATCCATCTTTGATTATATTGCTTAATAACCTTAAATATTTTTAAAGTTAAATAATCAAATTCATGGTTTTATTTTCTGACATTTCTACAGTCAATATTTGAAGAGTTGTTTTCTAAATGAAGTATCCATTTGATAGCCTCAGGTTCTCCTGTATTTTATTAGTTATTTTCACTATTATAAAGTTCACTTAATTGCTTAGCACTCTGATACTATGCTTTTCATTTTCAATCTATCGAGGATTAAGTGACCTCATAATACTTTGTTTTGTAAAGACAAAATTAATCGGATTAATTAATTGTTGTTGATTTTTTGCCCTTGATTAGTATACCATATGATATATTTAGTCCGTACACTTACTAGAGATTGGTAAAGGATTTTGTTCTGTTAATCTTGATTATGTTAACGTATTTAAATCAAGTCCGTCAGGTTTAATATTTAAAAATTCCTGTTTTTATACTTTCTATATCAAAAATCTTTATTTCACATGTTTTACTTTATCCAACTTAATTATCCAGTTACATTCAACTTATTAAAACAAACCAAATCCCTAGGCCTTTTCAACCAAACAATTAAATAATCATGTAATGAAAAAGAAAATTTTTTCTGTACTTAAATTACTTGTTGTTTCTAAGTACCAAATATCTATTTTGTCAAGTCATATACTAATAGCATGTTTTTTTAGGTTTACTAACATTTATTTACTGTTGTTGCTTGGCGCACCAATCGGCAATCAACCCAAATGAGTGTTGTTGTACAAAAGTGTGCACGAAAATTGCAAAATACAAATAAAAAGTGTAGAGAGGCAACAACTATGTGAAATAGAAAACTGTTACTTTATACATATACAGATTTTGATTAATTTAGTAAATGTAGTTTCAATGAACATTTTTCAAATTCCGTT